GCCTGAGTGTTGGGATTAAAGGTGAGTGCTGCTGCCTCCGCTGCTGCCGCCTCCTCCTCCGCCGCCTCCACTGCTGCCCTGGTTTATCCTTCTTTCTTCTTCATCACCTGCTGGAATTATATATCAACAAGGTAATGGTGTTATAGAAACTAATGCATGCCATACTTCTCTGCAAAATCTGTAACTCCTTATCTACAAGATGCTATGGACTTGACAATGATGGGAAGGACATATATTAAATAACTTACTGGTAAAGAGTCTACAGAAATCATTGTGCCATTAAAATGCAGGTTGAATATTTGTTCCACACTGGAAATAACTGACAGGTAGCATTTGCATATCATTCAAGATCTACAGATAATCCTTATCCTAAAGATTCCTTTTAAGATTTTTGAAGATACCCCATGGGTGTTGCCTAAAATTACACTCAGAAATCCTGCAGAGATCACTTTTAATGTTTTTACAGATGACTCTTCAAAAGGACAAGGAGCTTATGTTTTATATACGAATACCACATCCTCCACAAAAAGGATGGTACCCACTTCTGGTTGTGTAGCTCGTCTTTGTCACTGTTCGGTTGCTGTGAAGACTAAGCAACCATGGTCTTCTCCACGACCAAGGCAACTCTTATTTTAGAAAGCATTTAATTGGGGGCTTGCTTGTCATTTCAGAATTTAATCTACTATCATTGTGGCGCGGGAGCATGGCAGCAGACATGGTGCTAGAGAGGTAGCTGAGAGCTACATCCTGATCCACAGGCTGACAGAGAGACAGAGGCCGGAGGGGAGAGAGAGAGAGAGAGAGAACTGGGCCTGGCATGGGCTTTTGAAACCCCCAAAGCCTACCCCCTAGTGACATACCTCCTCCAACAAGGCCAGGTCTTCTAATCCTTGTAATGCTTTCAAACAGTTCTGCTTCCTGGTGACCAGGTATTCAAATATGGGAGTCTATGGGGACCAGTCTTAGTCAAACCACCACACAACTCAACAGTCTGAACTTACTGTAATCAGGCAGTTATTAGATGTTTCTTGACATTGAATATTTTACCTGACCGTGCATATTGTGTTCAAACTGTTTCTCTTTTAGAAACTATAAGACTTGAACCCATCCTCCACTACTGTTATTTATAACTATTTGTCTATATGGCAAGAAACATTTTTATCATAACCCATATTCATGCTAAGTCTAATCCACCAGGTTGATTAACATCTGCCAGTGCAAGCCAACGTGCTGTGCTGGCCTCATCACCATCTTTCTTCCTTTTCAGGCTGCTAAGAAAAGATCTCATGAACGTCCTCGTCTTCTTTCCCTCACTGCCCTCTCTTGGTGGAATTAATCCTTGGAGGTTAAAATCTGCTGCAGTGTTCTCAACCTTCTTAGAGCTGCCACCCTTTAACCACACCCTTACCTCTGCTAAACCACTACGTTTGTGGTGTTGTGGGCTTTATTTATTAATTTTTCTTGCAAAAATATTGTAACAATAAATCACTATCTAATAATTGGTCTTTTCTACCTTATTCTGCTTTAGGAGCATATGTGTGGAGGTCAGAGGACAACTTAAAGAACTTGGTTCTCTTCTTCCCTTGGGACTATGTGGGTCCCAAGCATTAGAATCAGGTTTCAGGCTTGCCAGCAGGCACCTTTACTTACTTAGCCAGCCCAAGACACATTTCTTTATTTCAAATGTGTAATCAATCATTGATAATAAATGTAAGAAGAATTTAATATAGAATTTTCAACATTTAAAAATTGTGGATGAAAACTTCTTACATATTCAAACAAAAATATAAATTACATTACTAAACAAGTATGAGAAAACTGAATAAAGGGAAACAATAGTCTGTAAGCTTTGATCACGTATCTTAAAAACATTTTATTTTCAATTATGTCTACCTGAGGGTAAATTCCCCCGGAGCTGGAGTTACAGGAAGTTGTGAGTTGCCCCATGTGGGTGCTAGGACCTGAACCCAGGTCCTCTGAAGGAGCAGTCAGTGGTCTTAACCACCGAGCCGCCTCTCCGCCCCATTCATGCACTTTTAAGTAGATGCTCTCCGCCCCATTCGTGCACTTTTAAGTAGATGCTGGGGCAATCAACTATAATTGCACTCACACTCTTTTAGTTTGAGTAAAAGAATGTAGCATCTAAATATGTTAATCTTCCCCAAACGATGGATTACACCCTATGTGAATTGGTATGTTGAAATGTTAAAATCTCTTTAATTTTTGTGACAGAGGCTTGGTTTGTAGCCCAGGCTGTCCTCCAACTCATGGTGCCTGTCTCAGCACCGCCACACTCAGCTTGATGAGACATTCAGACAGCAGCTTGAAAGACAGGGAAGTGGAAGAATCTCTTAGGGTTTATACTCTTGAGAGTATAGTTTCTTTTAGGGACCAGAGATCTCTAGTATAGAGGCCTTTGCAGTCTCCTGACCAGCTGAGCTTGGCCATGCATGACTTGGAAACAGATGTGCAATCATCTCACACTGCAGTTCTCCCTGCCTCACCATTTCATGGACCAGGAAGAGTAGCTCCTACAGATCATTCCACTGCCTGCTGGTTCTCATGACTTCTAGACAAAGGGCAGCTACTGGGTTCTAGACTCAAACTATTTCCTAAGTCACAGTATTCTTTCCCCTGCATTTCACATTCACCCTCCATCCTATATTCACCCTTCAACAGTATTTTCACATGTGTCCCTGCCCTTTGGTTCTCTCCTGTCAGTACTGAAAGCCATTTCTGCTTCCAAAAATAACCTGCCTTCAGTGTTTGCCAATTTAATTCCAGTTGGCTCCTCCCCTCACAGAACTATAGAACCTGGCTATGGTTCTCAGTGCACTTCTCAGTTTTCCTTTGACTTTTCCCTCAAATCCATGTACAAAATATTCGATGCAAATATTGAATACAATGAAAATATTATCATTGTAACCATGAAATAACCTAGAAGTCCAGCCTGATACCAAAGCAAACCCTACCCCTTTCCCATGTGTAAAATAAGGTGGGCCCTTCCATATTTTCTGCAGGGGGCCATGGGGATGTACAGCAGTGACAACTAGTATTTGACAAGTTGACTCACCAAACATATGTTTCCTGATGGGGAGTCCCACCTGGAAAGGCCATGTGATTACTGGCTGTAGATAACTATTTGTCTCTATAATTTCTCTCATGAGCCACTTAATTTCTTCCCTAAGAATAGCTTTGGGTGTATTCCCACTGTATTTACCTCAGGGAAATATTCAATCTATTGGGCACACATACAGCTGTGGATAGTCAGATAGATGATTTCTGCTTAGGCTGTAAGTTTTTTTTTTGTTTGTTTTTTGTTTTGGTTTTACGAGACAGGGTTTCTCTGTATTGTTTTGGAGGCTGTCGGTCCAGCCTGGCCTCGAACTCACAGAAATCCGCCTGCCTCTGCCTCCCGAGTGCTGGGATTAAAGGCGTGCGACACCACCGCCCGGCGGCTGTACAGTTTTGATGAATAGAAATACTAGGATATTTTACATTACTCAGACTGACATAGGATTCTCAACTTTGGACTTCAGAGCAAACTCAAAACAGGCTGGTTGTCCCTAGAGACAAATAGAGGTTATTTTCCCTGGCATTATTTTTCTGATTCTAAGGTCAGGATAGAAGCAACTTTAGTACAATGGAAGTAAAGGAGGGGCAATGATATGAACAATGGAGTCAAGATCATGATGAGGAAACTCAGATTCAGCTGACCTGAGCTAGTGAGAGATCACTGACTCTGGTCTGACAAATGGGGAACAGCATAAGACTGAACTAGACTCCCTTTATCTGGCAGTGGAGTGGGTTCAAGTTCTAACTCTAATGCACAAACTGACTTAATGGAGCTCATTCTATATGGAGAGATCCCTTGCTCAGCCTAGATACAGGGGAGTCGGGGGGGTGGGGGTAGGATGGGGGGGGTGGGGGGTGGAGAGTGGTCTTGGTCCTGCCTCAAACATGATGGGACAGACTTAGTAGACTTCCTAGAGGAGGCCCTACCTTCTCCAAGGAGCAGATGGGAGGTGGGGGGTGGGGAGTGGGGGAAGCAGGAAGACAGGAGGAAGGGGAACTGGAATTGGAATGTAAAAATACATTTAAAATAATAAAAAAAAGAAAGATGTGTACTCATGTGAAGGGATGTTAACTGAATTAATAATATGGAATTGAGCAGAAGAGAGATGTATGTAAGAGACTGTCAAAGATTATTTAAGTTGAAGTAAAGAAGTTACCATAGGTCAAGTGCATGCTTGTTTTTTTCTTAGGATAGGGTTAGCAGAAGCGTATTCATTTACCCTTCAGACAAAAAAAATCTAGCCCCTGCTGCCTTCGTGGATTGTTTACCCTGGTGCTGGCTGGGGGCTGGTCCTGTCAGTAACAATTTTCATCAGTGTCAGTGCTGTGCCTTCATATTGACAGCATGCTCCAACTTTCCCAGATGTCCTGGAAATTCCCCCAAATCAGTATGCATATGGGCCTAATTCAATCTTTTTTTTCCCTAAACACTATGCAGTATTTTGTAGAAAAATTATGCCGCAATTTCTAATTGTCTTGTAGATTATTTTGAATTTGTATCTTAATATTGACTCTCGGGTTGTTTCAACATTTTCCCTTTCAAAGTTATCACAAGTAGTTTCATTATCAGTTCAAGAAAGCCATATCAATTTCTATTTTCAACAGTTTACAGCCAACCAATAGCCACTTAAATTTGTATTTTTCTGTTTAAACTTTCATAGTTTTTGGAACTTTATGTTCACTTATCAATAATATTATCTATTAGGTTAAATTTTCTTTTCCTCACTAATTAGAGACCTATTACAATAAAATGGTGAATTGTGGATTCAGGAACAGAGCATGAAGATTATGTATGTCTGTCAATTGCAATATTGTCCTAGAAATGTTAAATTTAGTGTTAATGTTCATTTTATTAGGTTGGTAAAATAATGCACACAACACCAAGGATAATATGTTACACAATAAATGCTCAATGATAGGCAGTCTTTCATATTTTGCATTCTTTTATTATTAGATTATAAATAATCACCTTTGTGTTTACCTAATCTACAGATATTAGCATATTATACATAATTTATTAACATTGTACATATTAATGTGTCCCATTTCTTTTCATACATGGCCTCTCTTACACACTTATACACACACATTTGTTATTAAATCTTGTCACCTTTCCACTATTTCCCAGAAAGTATTTTATTAGTGTAATCAAGTCTAGCATTTCTCCCTTTGTGGATGTTACTGTAACAGACTTTTGTCAGAACCACTCATTGAGTTGATTGAGTTGGCTGCCTCAATGAGTTCTCCTTTCCATCAATCTATCTTAGTACTTTGGACAGGACCTCAAGGTGCTTTTCATTTTCCAGACTCAACTACTGTTCTTTCACAAAAACCAAATGTTGGCTGCTCCTTTTTATGTTCACCTGAAGAACAGTGTTTGTTTCCTTATGGCTTCTCTTTCCACATTATACTTCCAGAATGTTCTTATCTGTTGAATGGCTCCACAGAGCTCCTCTGAACAGAAATCAGTGAAATTATTAGCTATATTTTCCACTATTTGTTGATGTTTCCACTTGATGTTCCACAATCACCTTGTTTTGGTTTTGTTTCCTGTCACGATAAAACACCCCGACAAAGGCAACTAAAGAAATAATTTATTGGATCATTATCCCAGGTTACAGTCCATCACTGCTAGGAAGCTAAGGCTGCAGAACTTGAAGAAGCTGGTTGGTGAAGAGCAGAGAGCATGAAACAATACCTGCACTCCAGGTTCCACTCTCTCTTTCATTCAGTCCAGAGTCCAGCACATGAAATGGTGTTGCCCCATATTCAGGGTTGGTCTTCCCACTTCAGTTAACCCCAATTAAGAACAACAGACTCAGGGCTAAAGAGATGGTTCAGTGGTCAAGAGCACCTGCTGCTCTTACAGAGGACCCAAGTCAGCAACCATGTCTGACAACTCGGCTTCAGAGGATCCGATGTCCTCTTGTGCTTACACTAATACACACACACACACATACACACACACAGTCCCCTACAGAATGCTCAAAGGCCAACCTAATCTAGACAGTTCCTTATTAAGACTCCCTAGTCAAGACAGGCAGTGGTGGCATAAACCTTTAATCTCAGAACTTGGGAGGCAAAGGCAAGTGGAGCTCTGTGAGTTCAAGGCCAACCTGGTTTACAAATAGAGTTCCAGGACAGCCTGGGCTGTTCCACAGAGAAGCCCTGTCTTGAAAAACCAAAATGACTCATTACCCAGGTGAGTCTAGATTGATTCATTAACCATTAAAAGGTAACCAAAATATACCTTAAACTTCTAAAATTGAATTCCATACATAAAATTATACATACGAAAATCAGATGAGCTTTAAGACATGCTTTTTTTCTCTATATTATAAATACTATGTATGGAACACTTCCGTATAAAAGATTATACATATTTGAAGGGATATGCAGACAACACATGTAATTATAAAGTGAAAAAAGGAGGTCTGAGAACAAGACATTTCGTTTTAACTTTTTTGCCTCTTGAATTTTTGTACCACAACAGGCAATGACTATTTGAAAATAAACATCAGTATAAAAACCACCTCGGCAGTCCCTCCCATCCAGTTTGTTCTTTGTTCTAGCTGCTGGTCACTGTCAGCCTCACCCACTGCCTCTTCAAATACACAGCCATCACCAGATTCTGCTCAGTCCCCGCTAATTTAACAACAACCCCAAGAACATTCAGTAAGACGAAGATTAGGCTAGAGAGGAAAACATGGATGGGGTACTGTCAACACCATGCCGCAAGAACAACCAAGACATACACAGCAATTACACCACACACAGTAATTCTTAAATAAATGATTCTTTCGACCATTTACAATTATTTATTTATATAGGCGGCCATAAAATATTTTTATGATATACAAAAGAAAAAACACATTTAGATGAGTAAGAAATATAATGACAGGTGATAGAATTTAGTGTTTATAAATGAAAGTATCAATAACAGTCAGAGAAGAAATTCAAACGTACAAACTGAAGCCATGCATTTCAAGATTTCTAAATTGTAAGAAGGTATTGGGCTGATTAAGGTAATATGGCTTACTATTTTTTTCAACAATCTCAAAACACTTCTAGAAACTGACATAGATGGATATGAAAGAAAAGGAAAAGACAAGAACTTTGGCAAGCAAAGTAGTAGAAAACAGCAGCTTGGTAAAGTTTAATCTTTTTATGTAAATGTTCTTCAATTTACAGTTGTTCTTATCATAAGAGAAAAATATGTTAATATGAAGAATCTCTGGGCTATGAAAAAATAACTATTTAATAAAGCCTGAATGAAAATGTGCACCACACTGCATAAATAGAAATGGAGTGAATGCAAACCATGTGATTCTTAATGCTTCTATATAAATTTAGCCCCATATGTCACATAGTGTCACTATGTCCACATCTCTTCAGAGAGTAGCCAAGTCCATACTAAACTACTAAGTTTTTGTTGTCTTTCCTCATCTCCACCACTAAGCATGTTCCTGCAAAACCCACTGAGAAAGTGCATTCAGTATTCTAGTAACAAGCCATATCATGCATGAGCCAGGAATGACCACACCCTTAAAAAACAAAAAACAAAAACCCATTGAGGTTGGAGAAGGAATCAAACCAGAGGTTTGTTTGTGACTTACAGGAGACCTTGGTACCTCAAAACACACAGCTCCAAAAGACAACTCTACTTGATTAAGATTTTTTTTGTCATGGATAACTGGCTAATTAGGTTTCTAGAAAATGAGACTCTGAACTTAAAAGATGTAGCAAAATCAATTATGAATTGGCTGTCAAACACTTATGAATGCAAGAAAAAATGGTTGAAGTTTTACATAGAAAAGATATAAATACTGCATAATATGTAGTGAATATTTGCACAGGCCCTTTTATCTTTAAAGCATAAAATACAACTTGCAAATCTGATGCTCCTAATAACGTCTTATTAGGATACTTTTTGACACAGCTAGCAAAGCCTCTCCATGCTCCCAAAGTTCCCAAGGTTTAAGGCTTTCCAACGGGCTTGTAGCAAGCATCAGGCTGCCAAAGGCGAATATCAACTATGACCTGGTTGAGTTTCTGCATCCAGAGATCCCGCTCCTCTTTAGTGTCTGCAGAGAGCCAGTTCCTGCAAGGGCAAGCAGAGGTTAGCTTCCCTCCCACCATTCCATGCCTCCCACCTCCTTGCTAGGGAAACACAAATTCCTAAACAAACCAAGATTTGCGGCTTCTAATTGATGCTAACCAGGAGCCACCCGGGGAAGAGCATAATTGAGTACTGTCATTATTCTTGGTCTGGTTAACTAGTCATAACTCACACTAATTCCTTAGGGTTTCCTTGTTTTTGTGTTTGAGATGGAATCTTAGGTCTCATTGACTTCTATACCTAGCAACAACCTAATGAATAGACTGTGTCACATTCTAACCTCCAACCTAGTCACAACCTGTTCACTGAAGACTGCCTTCAAGCTTTTCTGGGCCATTTGTGCTGGGCAGTCTTTTTGTTGAGTTGACACAACCAGGGTCATCTGGGAAAAGGTCACCTGAGGAAATGCACCCATCAGACAGGCCTGTGGAAAAACTCTGTGAGGGCATTTTCTTAATTAAGGATTGATGCAGAAGCACCCAGTTCATTGTGGGTGGTACTACAGCTGGGCAGGTGGTCCTGGGTTCTACAAGAAAGCAGGCTGAGCAAGCCATGAGGAACAAGCCAGCAAGCAGCACTTCTCCATGGCTTCTGTTTCAGCTCCTGTTTCTAGGTTCCTACTTGTGTTTCTGCACTGACTTCCTTCAGTGAAGGACTCTGTTGTGCAAGTGAAAGTCAAATAGACCCTCTCCTTAAGCTGCTCTTTGCTAAAGTGTTTAGTTTGTTAACCCCAACCAGAAATCTGCAGTCTAAAAGCAAATCAACTTTGTAAGTAATCTAATTAAATGAGAGTACTACTTTTTTCTTCTTCAAGACAGGGTTTTTCTGTATAATAGCTCTCTCTGGCTGTCCTGGAACTCACCTTGTAGACCAGGCTGGCCTGGAACTCAGAGATTTGCCTGCCTCTGCCTCCTGAGTACTGAGATTAAAGGTGTGTGCCACCACCACCTGGCTATTGAGGATATTTCTTAATGAAGAGAAATATGCTTGCTTTCTCAACTACACATGAAATCTTCAAGTTTAACCCAAAGATCACCAGCTAACTGCCTGGAGAACAGTCATGACCAACTGAGATTCAACCTGAACAATATACTTATAATTAAATTCAGCCAGTTATTATAGGCTGTTCCCTTACTGTTATGTATGTGTTTTCTCACCAGGACTTTAACCTTTTTCAAAGTTGAGGACCATCAATAATATTTTCCATACGCCTAAGAACAAAACTGGCAGTTAGTTGACAGAAACAAGCAAGGGACCAGTACATACTTGGTGACACAGAGTGTGTCCCTGCACTGGCTGACAAGAGTCTCTCGGTCGTCCTCTCTTTGTGGTCGGACAGTGATTAATTCCAGAGTGTTGCGTCTTGCACAAAATTCTCTGTTGGCTGGTTCTACCTGATGACTGATACAATTGGCCAGATTTATCCTTCCTACAGGATTCTTTAAAAATAAAACATAAGAAGTATTAGAAAACAAGCAAGATTATTTGAATCAGTAAGCAGTGTTTAAGTTGGCATAAAGTTAAAAAGCCATTATTTAAAATTTCATATTTAACAACCAGAAGACAAATAAGCACGGAGCAGCCAAGCGTATTAAATGGCTTAGCCGCCTGGGTCTTCACTTGGCTTAGGTCACACACACATCCCTCTCTGGTCAATGAACTCAGAAACCTAGTGGTCACCCTAGGCCGTCACCTGCATCAGGCTGCACATACATCTGCTTTAAACAATGGGAACAAGTTCTTCCCTTATCAAACACTTGGCAGCAGCCAGTTCCTATTCAAGCACAAAGGAACACATCCAGGAACTACAGGAAATGGACTGATCAGGTATACTTGGTTTTACGTGCATAGTATAAATCTATGATCCCATGTAAACTTTTAGGAAACCCCCTACTTATGACTATATATACATATGCACCACATACATGTGCACACATACATGTGCACACATTTGAATATGCATTCTCACATTTATACCATGCACATCCAAAAACTCTGTACATCATTAAAAAACAATATTGAAAAATTCATTTTAGACAACAGAAAGCTCCTCAAATTTTCTAAAAATAGAATTACCATAAGTCACACCAAAAACAGATAGAAAAAAAAGCTAAAAGGTAGATAAAGTTAGTGCTGATATGGTGGTGTATGCTTGCAATCTCAGAGCTTGAAAAACAGAAGCAGGAGGTAGAATATGGAGGTTTCAAGTTCTAGGACTCGCTGGGTCACAAGCAAAACCTGCCTCAATGGTTAAGAGCACTCACTGAATTCGACCCAGGTTCAGTTCCCAAAACACACACTGCCTCACAACTATCAGTACTCCACAGCTGCAGGGGATTTCACTGGCCTCTACAGGCACCAGGTACACATGTGGTACATGTGAGCAGCATACTCATACACATAAAATAAAAATAAATCTTTTCTAAAAATTAGTAATTTTAATGACTATAGTGTAAGGCTGTTTGGTATAATGTAATGCTGTTTAGCAGCGATGAAAAACATTACAGGTATGTTTATGCTTTAGAAAGGTATTTGGAAATCTCAAATAAAGTGTTTGTTTTTGCTTGAAAAAGACAAATTCATAAAAACAGTCTGGGGATCCTGTGGGAGCCCACAAGTGACTCAGTTTCCATCTGGAGTCTATTCTGACTATAAGAGTTCAAGCTTGCTTGCTCTAGTCTCGAGAGCCGTGATAAACTTCTGATTAAGCCTATAGGACAAAGTACATTATCTCTCTGATGCCAGCTGTAGGCACACAGATAGATAATGCAGCTGCTTGCTGCTAGCAGGACCCACATGACAGACAGTGAGCCTGGCTGCTCCTCGATTCAAGGACAGTGCAGGGAGCTGGTTAACTGACTGTGCTGTTCTTTGTTCTGCTTTGCCTCTAGTCTGTATATAAGCAGGGTCTAAGTTAAACTCAGGGCTGTCTGGTGCGCTAAAAGCTAATCTATCCTGTGTTTCTGTCTGTTTCTTTATCTGTCATTTCTCAGTCCTCATGCCCCTACTCAAGTAACCCTGCTGACTCGTTGGAGCTTCTGACAGGATCCAAGTAAGCAGTACCAAACCCTGCCTAGTAAGTGAACTAAATATAAGGTTGTGGGCTCTCTCTCCAGCTCTAGTCAGGAGTTGGGAAGTATGAGGCAAGGGAAATGACTCATAGATGCATATATAATTACTATTATATATTTTTAGCTGTAGACAACCAAAACATGAATAATCCCATACAGAAGGGACTCAATGGGTGGGGACAGGGGACATACACTCATGGAACACCACAAACACCCAGCAGGACTTCCACCACTGAGTAGAGCTGTGTCAATTACCTTTCGCCTCTCATCATCTGGGTAAGTCCAGTAGGAGATACAGTTTCCAGAGAGAACACACCATCTTCGATGCCAGGCACCAAAGCCACTAACATCTTCAAATATGGTCTGGAAGTCAATTGAAACACTAACATTAGAAAACTGAAGAAAAAATGTCCTTATCTGTGACATTTTCGTGTGAAAATCTATTTGTATGAGTTTATTGCGTCCCTATCAAAAATGCGTTTAAGAAAGCTGAGCATTGGTGGCGCATGTCTTTAATCCCAGCAATTGGGGAGGCAGAGGAAGGTAGGCCTCTGTGAATTCGAGACCAGCCTGGTCTACAAGAGCTGGTTCTAGGACAGCCTCCAAAGCCACAAAGAAACCCTGTCTCAAATTTAAGAATATCTAGATTGCCAGGCATTGGTGGCGCACGCCTTTAATCCCAGCGATGGGGGAGGCAGAGGCAGGCGGATCTCTGTGAGTTCGAGACCAGCCTGGTCTACAAGAGCTAGTTCCAGGACAGCCTCCAAAGCCACAAAGAAACCCTGTCCCAGAAAACCAAACCAAACCAAACCAAACCAACCAACCAAACAAACAAACAAAACCCAACCCTACAATAGTCACTCAATTGGCTTCAGAATGAAGTCCAATTTCTGTAAAATACTTGGTCCATTTCTCTAACTATACAGTCTCCTCACTCCCCACCTCTATACCCAGGCTGAGCTCTTACTATCCTGAAATATTCAGCACTCTCTCCTCCTTCTCTTTAGGCCGGGGTAAGAGAGGGAACGGACACCCAGGACACTGTTCCCCTTACCTGCAGCATTTGTCTCCCTCCCTCTGCTCATTCACTAGGGTTAGAAGCTACCACTCCCTGCGATTCCTGTCCCTCAGCTCACAGCAGTGCCCTCTGCTTTCTCCTATGGTGAACGTACGTTAGTTCACCTCCCCCCTTCATACTACATTAAAAGCTCCTCCTGGGCCAGCAAGATGGCTTAGTGGATAAGGGCACTTACTGCCAGCCTTATGACTTAAATTTCATCCCCAGAACCCACAAAGTAGGGAGAACCAATTTCTGCAAGTTGTCCCTCTGACTTCTACAAACACACTGTGGCATATATACGTACTTTTCAAATAAATATAGAATTTTACAGCTCCTGCAAGTGGAGATTCTTGTCTGTGTGTAATTATATTCCAGCAGCAGCACAGTGAATGGCTTAGAGGGAATTGCAACAAATCCTTACAAAACCAGTTTATCACATAGTCACACAGGCTTTCTTCCTTAGAAGACTGAAGAGAAGGTAAAGAAGAACAGGGAGAGGTACTCACTAGGAAACCTTTCTCCTCAACACTTGAATTCACTTGACAGCTGATTTTTAAACAGATATGACCTTCCAAAGGAGATAGAAAAGGTACCTGTGAAGACAAAGGGGAATTATTTGTAAAATCATTTCAAAGTGTGATCTTTCTTGGTAAACCATGAACACAGAATACCATACCCTGAAAATAAGTCACATTTAAAGCTGACGCACAAATGAGCCCCTGCTCCTTAGCAACAGACGCTTCAAAGTAGAATTTTATAAAAATAAAAGTCCAAAGCTCCAAATTAATGAGAAAAGAGAGGAGATGTGAGAATAAGAGCTGCTGACTCCTTTATCCTGAGAAGACTCTCAGGAGGAGCCTGGATAGACCTTACACCTATAAGGCAGCATTCTTTAGCAATAAAGGAAAATGAACCACAGAAACGGGAAAGCCAATCCTTAAATCTATATGAAATTGCAAGGGCTGTAAATACCCAAAATAATCAAAAGAACACTTGGATGAAGCATACTTCCTAGTTTGTGAATTAATTCAAAGCTTAAATAATGGAAACAGTATGCCACCAGCAGAGGTATGGATACACAGGCAGACAGGCCAGAATTGGGAGCCAAGAAATGGCTGAAGATACGGCAGATACCTGTGTAGCACGCACAGGTCCCGACTAAGTCTGCAGCACTTAAAGACAGAGACCAGAAATAAGCACATTTTGACACACAATTATTTTTTTGTTGCTCTTTTGCCAATTAATTTTTGAAAACCATGCCAAGACTATTCTATGAAATAGAGCAGTCTTGAACAAATGGTATTGAGAAAACAAGAAATTCACATGCAAAAGTGTAAAAGCTAGTGTCTTCACTGGGTTCCCATTGCTTACGATAAAATATCATGACTAAAAGCAACTTGGAAGGAAATAGATGTATTCCACCTTACACTTCCACAGTCACAGCCCATCACTGAGAGAAGTCAGGGCAGGAGCTGATGCAGAAGCCATGCTTCCTTACACACCCCAGGACCATCTGCTTAGTAGTGCCACTGCCCACAAGCCAGTCTGGTGGAAGCACTTTCTCAACTGAGGTTTCTTAATCCCCAATGATTCTAGCTCGTGTCAAGTTGAAAACAAAACAAAAAACACACCACAAAGCAGGACAGCTGGGCCTCGCCTCATAACATACATAAAAGTTAACCCAGAATAGACTATGACTTAAATATGAGAGCTAGCATCATATTAGCACCACAGAAGAAAACACAGAAGTAAATTTCATGATCATAGATATTGCAATGAATTGTCAGATATGATATAAAAAGCATAAGTAACATGAAAAATAGGCTTCATCAAAATTTAAAAACGGTCAAAAAAGAAGTTCCTCAGAAATTAAGAACAAAGTACAGAGACTCATAACTGGTCCCTGGCACGTGAAGAAGGGCACAATAATGTAAGAGAGGAAGGGGAGTGGTGTGATGTGCTAGCTGCAGGGACCATGACAGGGTCGTGGCATTCCTGAACCCATGACCGTTGTGATTACCAGTTCAGGGGCTCTGCAAGATTAGGTCTGTCAACATTCTGTCATGGAAGGGGAAGGTGCCCATAGGCCCCCACCCCCAGGATTTATAGGGAGACTGACAGTTGATGGGGGAGGAAAAACATTTCTTCAGTGGTACAGTCACAAAAGAGGCTCATGTTTCTAGAGTGAATGTGCATGTATAAAAAATAAACTAAGCCGGGTGGTGGTGGCGCACGCCTTTAATCCCAGCACTCGGGAGGCAGAGGCAGGCGGATCTCTGAGTTCGAGGCCGGGCTGAACCGACAGCCTCCAAAACAATACAGAGAAACCCTGTCTCGTAAAAAGCCAAAACAAACAAACAAACAAAAAACCAAACCAAAACAAAAAAACTAAAATGCACCAAGCCTGGCTACCTGAGGCTTTGTCTCAAAACAACATAAACAAACAGGCCCACCAAGGTGGTTCACTGGGTAAAAGTGCTTGCCAGCAAGCCTTAAACCTGAATTTGATCCCCAGGATCCACACAAAGGAAGAGGAGATTGTCCTTAAACGTACATGTAAGTGCTATGGCATGCATAAGTGCACACACAAAGTAAATGAATGTAATTAAAAAAAAGGACTTTTATGACACTACAATCACTCTGCTCAGCATAAGACAAAGGAATTGGTCCTCAAAGTCCTACCTGCACTACTCACAATAGCTGAGGAGCAGAAACAACATGTCAGTCAATGATGACACATGTGTAGTGCTTGGAAAATTCAAAGAACTCAATAATAAAAGAGCCAAAGGACAAAATGCAATGCAAATCAGACTCACAAGAAAGAAGGTTGTGGTGGCTCAAACTCACAGTCCAGGCAGGAGGAACACCTCAAATGGGAGGGCAGAGCCTGTCTCAAACCAGCAAGCCACTTCACAGCTCCCAGGAAGGTGATATGAGCCTTTAATCCCAGTGAGTTCAAGACCAGCCTGATCTACAAGAGCGAGTTCCAGGACAGCCTCCAAAGCCACAGAGAAACCCTGTCTCAAAGCCCCTCCTCCATAAAAAAGAAAAAAGTTTCAAAGGAAAACCTGGGAAGTGAAAGCTCATATTATTGTGGCTCTTTATAAGGATAAGTCAAACCATCATCATGACTCCCCAGTCATGTTCCAGGGCTTGTTCATAAGTCATGTTCATAAGCCCTAAAACTTGAAAAGTGCATTCATACAATTACATGTACACACAATCACAGAAGCAAGCCAAAAAGACACAAACAACTCAAACGTCATCACAGAGGAAAAGAGCTCACTTTTGGAGACATGGGCTTGTTTTGGAAATAGAAATGATGGCTGTACATGACCATGAAAGCATTAAATGCTACCAAACTGTTCATTTCAAAGTTTCTATCTTTGTTGACTGAATTCTAACTCAACGAATCATTTGTTTATTGATCTGTATGTGTACATGTGTGGAGGATTTTTTTTTTCTTTTTATCAAGACAGGGCCTCACTATGTAGTCTAGGCTGACCTTAAACTCATAGAGGTCCACTTACCTCTATCTCAAGTACTGGATGGAGATAAGGCAGAAACCACCACTCCCAGTTGATCATTTTAGAAACAATCAACTCCCAACACATAATATGAATAAACCTCAAAACCTATCATGTTGAGCAAAAAAGTTAACTCAAAAGAACACACATGTGAATTCATTTGAAACTAATGCATAAGGGTAGAAGTGAGAACAGGTGTCTGCCTGTGTTGTTGGAACTGATTACAAGGAATGATGTCAGCTGAACAAGAGTATGTGTACACTTGTCACAACTCACTAAATTTTGTCTGAAGGTTGTTACATTTATCTAAATTTAAAATTTTGGACTATTTTATATATTTATTTGCCTATGTGTTCATGCATGTGTGTGCACACAGCATACTGGTGGAGGTCAGAGGGCAACTTGATAGTTTGTTTTCTACTTCTACCTTTACATGGTTCCAGTGAAAAAACTCAGGTCCAATGGCTTGTGCAGCAAGTGCTGTATGCTGAGCCCTCTTACCTGCCCTTGAATAAAATGTTTATAGCTCTTTTGAATATATATAGCATGACTACAGTCACAAACATTCTTATCTCCTTCAGGTTTCCTCCTGTGTCAATCTCTGAGGGAGGAACTGTGGGCGTATTTTCTATTACTGTGGTTTAGCTTTTATATACATCACTTACCACAAGAAAAACACATTGGTTTTAAAGGAAAGAAACTTAAGAAATATTCTTAGCTAGTTACAACAACTCAATTTATGTTATTTAATATTTGTAACTATGCAATAAGCAAACATGCATTCAGTAGAGACTGTACTTGAATTTTTATCTTCCCCAGACTAATGAGATGCAGTAAGTACAACACCCTGTTGAGTTTCTCAGGGTTGGACATCATTGCTTGACACAGTTTCTTATGAACCTCAGACAGGCTGCTGTTACTTTAGAACATCATGTGTCCTCAGCAAGATTTTGCTGATTAAAAATTTTGACAAAGTACATGAGATATTTATTACTTGTCCAAGCACAAGCTAATGTAATATTTATGGAAGGGGAGGGCCAAGCCATGCTTAGTAGTTTTAGGTATCTTGAATGATTTTTCAATTTATGATAAAATTACCAGGATATGAACTCATTTCGAGCTAAGAAGCATCTATTGACAATACAAATAAACATGTAATTGAAACAGGGACCCCAAAACAATGGACTCAAAAGAATTTAAATTTCCCCATGAATCTCAAGCTGACGAGGGAAAGGCTAACCCCTGGTCCTAGTGGGGGCTGCCTCTTTAAAGGGGATTTCAGAAAATTTCTCATAAATTGACATATTTGTATTTCCTGGATTTTTGTTCATTTTTTTTCTATAAAAATTTAACAGTGCCATAGGAAATGCTATCTCCCTCAGCTAGGCCAAACTATAAATAAACCTATTTTTCCCTTGCTAATTTCTGTTACTAATTTTTCCTGAAATAGAGGAAAACTAAAGCTTGTGGACCTACGTGCCATCTAAAACCACTTCCTTCTCTCAAACATACAATTTTATTCAAGAGAACGAAAGGGACCTGACAATAATTACCCTGTAGATTATATCCTCATTCTTTAAGCTGCTCTAAAGTAGACCTAACACAGAACTCTGTTCATGGTAACAGTCATCCTATGCTTGTGTCATTTTACTTTGGGGCAGATTTCCAAAACCATGGGGTCCATACCTAAAGTCAGTCAACCTGATAGAATAGAATAGGATAGAAATAGGCTTAGACCTAACAGTGAAAGCCAATATAGAACTCTAGCTTCAGAGTGCTGCTTAGTCTCTATACAAAGAAGGTGCAAATCATATCCTATTACTGCACAGTGTGGTGACACTTCACTCTTTTTGGTTTTTTTGTTTTTTGTTTTTCGAGACAGGGTTTCTCTGCGGCTTTGGAGGCTGTCCTGGAACTAGCTTTTGTAGACCAGGCTGGTCTCGAACTCACAGAGATCTGCCTGCCTCTGCCTCCCCCATTGCTGGGATTAAAGGCGTGCGCCACCGACGCCCGGCGACACTTCACTCTTGATCACAACTGATACAGTATTCCTAGACAAATGTATATCCTCAAAATTATTCCCAATTCTGTTCACTAAATTTATCCTACTGTATGTTTGACAGATTTATACAATTAAGTGCCAAGAATTCCACTTCTAATTTAGAGATGAAAACTTACAAAAAGCCCACATTTTTTTCAACAATAAAACACACACACACACACCTGGGTAAACTTAACAATAACCAACTTCTCTTTGCAACAGACGGAGACCACTACAGAAAACTAAAACCAAAACAGAGTTGTAGAGCCCTGTCCTAGCAGCTACATCTACAGCCCAGCCCCCACTCCTAAGGCCCAGGCAACACTGTGGAAAGGAGGGCAGAGAGCCAGATGGTCAGGGAGTTTGCAGTAAGTGCATTTCCTAGGAATGGCTGAAGTTATCCCATAGTCTCACCAATTTGAGAAAGAGCAAGACCAGAGTATGTGGGAGAGTTTGAAGGGAGGAAGGGAAGGAAGAAATGATGTAATTATATTATAGTTTCAAAAAAATTAAAAGATATCAAAAAATATTTCCTGGTCTTTGGACTAAGATAAAGTGAAGATACGGTACAAAAGCAAACAGATGGGAAGAACTAAATTCCAATAAGACATATCCCTCTGCTAGGTGCCTCGATGAATTGGAGTTTGCTTGGCTGCTCTGTGCAATGTGTGCATCACTGAAAAAGGAGAACAATGTGGGCATCTAACTGAAGCCCACAAGGAGTACACGACAGTACTGGGATTTAAGATAGGATGTGGTGAATGAATAATCCCTGAAGAACGAAGATTAAACATTCTGGAAGTTCCTTGATGAACTTGAATAAAGTATTTACAATGTATTTCTAAAACAAGAAAAAGAAAAACTGACTATGTGTTGTGTTTTACCTACATTTGTGTGACATTAAAAGCAAACGAACTAAACAGCTCAATGAAAAAGAGGAACAGAAAAGATCTGTCAGGTTAGATAATAAACATGATACAACAGGCAGACACGGGCAAAGGAAGACAGAAAGCACAACCACGCCAAGCCCCTCTGACAACGTTCATATCAGACAACACAAACTTAAGATGAAAGGGACCAGAGGCAGGCATCGTCTCCTATTCCTGCAGTTCCAGCATTCAGGAGGCTGAGGCCAGAGAATCAAAACAAATTTGAGGTCAATTTGGACTACATGAGAAGATCCTCAAAAAAGAAAAACAAACTAGGAGTTGGAGGGCTGGCTCAGAGGTTCAAAGAACTGGCTGTTTGTTCTTCCAGAAGACTGGGGTTGATTCCCAGCACCCAAAAGTCCGCTCACTACTGTCTGTAAAGTTCCGGTGGATCTAACTCCCTCACACAGACTATATGCAGGCCAAACACCAACGTACATAAAATAAAAATAAATTATTAAAAAAAGAAAAACCTAAAACAATGAAGATCAGCGATAAATGGAACAATTCAGCAGAAAGTTCAAAATACATGGTGAAAAAAATTGACCAAATAGGTGAAAGGTACCATACCTGCACGAGTCCCTCAGTTTGAATCCCAGTACCTTACACACACTAACTCACTCAGACAAAACAAAAATTTAAACACCTAAAACTGAAATTATATTACTCCTACTAATTAAAAGCTTGATGTTTTCTTCCAAATGAAAGTGTGGTTACCATCTAGCATGGAAATACCCCTTCCTGTAAGAAAGAGTAAGTCTTTCTTACTAACACATAAGATGAAAATGTTCTTGCCCTTGTCTGTTAAGCATCAGTCTCTTTAAGGCATCCTCATTTCACTGATGACTTAGACATCTAAACTGTAATCTAGAGCCAGGACGAATGATGCAACTCATCATGCATTGGCATATTTTAGAGCGAAGGGAGATAGTCACTGAGGTCAAAAGGCACACACTGGATTTCTTCAAAGAGATAAGAACGCCTAACCAACCAGGCGTCTTGGCGCATGTCTTTGGTCCCAGCACTTGGGGAGAGGCAGGTGGATCACTGAGTTCAAGGCCAGCCTGGTCTACAGCAAGGGCTACACAGAAAGACCCTGTCTAAGGAAAAAAAAATGCCTAAGTACTCTACTTCTAAGCTCAAAATCCTGTGATTGGGTAATTGTTTTACTTCATTGCCGTTTTCCCTAAAAATATTTGAACTGACACTCTCCACTTCCTAAAGGAAACCTCTTCAAGTCAGATGAGCTTTGGAACTACTTTTTCCCCACAAAAATATAAAGCTAAGCATTCTGGATTTCACATTGAAATAAGCAGTTTGAGTCTGCAACTGACCAAGATTTATTATTTAAGCACCAGGATTCAGCCTTTAAATTAGGTTTCAGTTCAAATAACAGAGAAATCTAACACTTGTGGTTCTAGGGACCTAACCCCCACCTTATGGCCTCTGCAGGAACCAGGTAAGCACAGGGTGCATATATATACATGTAGCCTAAACACTCATACACATAAAATAATTTTAAAATGTCATACCAGTAGTTCATTTAGTATATCAGAAGTCAAATATAGAATAATTTTAGTCTTAAACATAGCTATTAATGTTCTATTCTTTTTTTTTTTTTTTTTTTTGGTTTTTCGAGACAGGGTTTCTCTGTGGCTTTGGAGGCTGTCCTGGAACTCGCTCGGTAGTCCAGGCTGGTCTCGAACTCACAGAGATCCACCTGCCTCTGCCTCCCGAGTGCTGGGATTAAAGGCGTGCGCCACCAACGCCCGGCTCTATTCTAACTAGTACCCAAAAGTAATCAATATAAAAGTGAATAGATTTCAAAAAATTGTAAAATGTAGGGTGGGCATGTGGCTCAGTTGGTAGAGTACTTGCCTAGCATGCATGAAACTTTGGGTTTCATTCCTAGTATCCAACATTCAGCCATGAAGACCAGTGGGTATGATCCCAGAATTTGGAAGGCTGCTGGATCAGAAGTTGAAGATCATTTTTGACTACATAGTAAGTTAGAATTCAGCCAAAGATAAATGAAACCATGTCTTAAAAAAAAAAAAAAAGGTGGTGCACATGTTTAATCCCAGCACTCAGGAAGCAGAAGCAGGCAGATCTGAGTCCAGCCTGATCTACAAAGCAAGTTCCAGAACAGCCAAAAAAAAAAAAAAAAAAAAAAAATCACAAAATGGAAGTATGTTTATAGAAAATTCTAAAGCAAACCTACAAGGAAATAAAATTGAGACATTTTAAAGAAAACTATAAACAATTATGAAAGTAGAGAGAAAAATGCATATATAAGAGCCCAAAGGATGAATTTTTTGTCTCTACATATATAGTTAGTTATTCAAGTAAACCAAAAATATATAAAGGTGATTATTGAAACAAACACACATGCACCAAAAAATCAAGGGTTGGTTATTGATTTGAAAAGGACATCAGAGTGTTTACTTAACCAGCAGCTTTAACATAACATAATTAAGAAGTAATATAGGCAGAAAGAAAATGATTTCTTAAGCACATTAACTTTAAGTAAGGAAAATAAAGCAACCTTTTCCTGGAACAAATAGCCCAGTAGCTCCTGTTCTCTTACATCAAAATTTATCTAAAATAAACAAAAAAGAAAAAAGAAAACAAAAAGATCCAGAGTCACTTGATGTGTTAAGACTAGTTGGATTACTATTACTAAGTAAAAGCTACATACAATTTTAGATATTAGCATGTTAAAATAATTTTTGTGTTAACAGTAGTCAAAATTAAAACATGGTCAGCACTTTGTCTATCAACCAAAAATATTTTTGCATTTTAATGTTAGGCTGGCTTGTGTTATTCTAATATTCCCTGGGAAATGAAGTGTCTTTGCTCAGAACTAAGAAGTTACCAGCGGAGCCTGCATGAGACCTGGAGTCTCCTCCAGTGCTCCCAGAGCAGGAGACAAGCTGCACAATGGCAGCAGCCAAGCCTCATCTTCACGCAGTTCACTTCTATGTTCTGACTAGAGAACCTCTACTACAAGCTACCCAAAGACTGCATGTGCTCTCCACATGTGGAGGAGTTTGTACCAGTTTGAATGTCAACAGAGGTTACTAGAGATGGAGACGGGACACAGGAAAGGACAGGAGTGGGGGGAGGCTGAAGTTGAGTAAGCATTAAAACACAATCAGGTTGGGCATCGTAACCCATGCTGGTAGTCTCAGCAATTCAGAGGTAGAGACAGGAAGATCAGGAGTTCTGAGTCAGCCTTGACTACACATAACAAGATTGGGGGTGGCCTGGGCTATGAGAGACCTTAACTTAAGCAACAACAATAACAACCTCCCAAACAAACAAACAAACAAAAAACACCAAACATACAAACAAAAAACAGGAAAAAAATTCCACAATCAGAAGGAATAAATTCTAGTGTCCACATCACAGTGGGAGAATTATATTCATAATAACCTATAATGTATTTGAGGAAAAACTACGACAAGAGCTCAAATGTTATAAACAATAAGAAATAAAGAAATAGGAAGTCTGTTATCTTGACTGGATCAGTACACTGTGTACATGTGTTAAAATAAATATGTAAATCACTACATGTCAATATAAAATTTTAATTAAGACTTAAAATTCTATTTTAAAAAAATCTGTATTTTAAAAAACAATCACTGTGTTATTTATCAGGAGTCAACCTAAAAAAGTTCACTTCCAATCTCTCACTCCTGACCATAGTCTAATTAGCTATTTAAATGCTTATTTATCTCACACTATGGTGAAAAAAATGCAGATCTGAAGTTTGAAGTATTAAATTTAGTAAGGAAGTATGGGAAGGAAATCTCCTTAGTTAAAAAGATATGACTGGCACATGCCTATAACCCAACAGTGAGAGGTTAAGGCAGGAGGATCAAGAAATTCAAGGCTATCCTGCGTTATACAGCAAGTTTCAGGCTAGCCTCAATGGCACAGCAAGACCTTGTCCTATAATATAAAAACCTAAATTTGTAACATATTGAATTATTTTAAAATATAAACATCTAAATGCAAGACACGCCACAGAAAGCAGTATAGATTGACAATTTAAATATAGTATTAATATAAAAAACACTCCCAACATATAACACTCATGTATACCCCTATCTAGTAATATGTATAATCCTAAAGAATGTATATTTTAGCCAAAGATTTCAAACATCTGAAAATATTTTATTTTGGAATTTCTATAGACTAATGTTTTTAAGTGCAATACACTCATAAGTACAGTTGAGTTACCTTGTCCAAAACAAACTTGGTATCTCCGACAGAAGATAATGACAGTGTGTGAGATCCAACAAGGGTAAAGTTGCTGGTGCGCACAGCACCGAGACCTCCAGGACTGGCCATAACTGTGGAGAAATGAAGCAAAAGTTAATTCATATCGGCCTTCCTAAGTCTGAACAGGAATGGCCCCATAGGCTCGTGCTTCAGTGCTTAGTCTTCAGTCGGGAAATCATTTAGGAAGAACTAGGTGTGGCTTTGCTGGAACAGCCTTGCTGCATCCTCACTGGAGATGTGTCATTGGGGGTGGGCTTTGAGGTTTCAAAAGTCCACACCAATCCTAGTCTCACTCTCTCTCACCCTCCCCAGCGTCCCCACCCCCACCTCATGCTTGTAGCACGGCCATGAGAGCACAGCAATCCTCTTTTGCTTCAGCTTTTCAGGTATCGAGATCACTCATAGTGACCACGCCCAATGTCCTCCAGTTTTAGGTGTGTGTGTGTGTGTGTGTGTACAAAATCAAGAGAACAATTCTTTTCTGCCATGTTGTGGCATCCCAGGATCAAACTCAGACCTTAAGGCTTATATACAAGAATCTACCTGCTCAAACATGCTGTCCCAACTCTACTTTAAGAATGGAGGAAAATCAAAGAACAAGCTTTCCTAATAAAATAAAACTGAGATACAGGCACTTAACATTTGGTAAAGTTGTTTTTAATGACACAGAACCTAAAACTTTCTACATAAATAAAGCAGTTTCTTTGTTAAAAAATAAAGAAAAGTTAGCCAGGCAGGTGGCTCAGGAGATAAAAAGGCATTTGCCAAGCCACACCTACGGCCCAAGTTCAATCCCTGAAATCCATGTGAAAGAAGAAAGACCAGTCTGACCTACACATGTGCATGTGTGCACAGACAGACACCAGTACATAACAGGACAAGAACTATGGAAAAGCCTCCTTACCGTTGGTAATACTGAGTGACCTTAGTAACACAGATCTTTGTTAACTCTCTTGTGCCATAGGCAAGAGAACAACCACAGAGGGTAAATGAAGTAAATTTATTTTAGAGGACTTTCCTTGTTCACTAGCACCCCTGTTCCCAGGAACCTAGAGAGATGCTTTGTTGACATATTATAATAATGCTATGTTGAAATCGGTAAAGTTAAAAGAAGCAAAACTCCATGGTGTTGATAACGGAAAGAGAAGTAGGGTTGAAGCGTAACACTATGTGCTGAAATTACTAAGTGACAAGTACTGACTGCTACAATCTGGAAAAAAAACAAAAAAACAAACCCTAATGATTAACTCATATTGCTGCGAACAAGGCTACAAATAAGACTACATGCTTTTCTGGCCAGTAATATATGTTGCTTTAAACAGTTGATGTAGGAAATGTTTGCCCACGACTGTAAAAATCACACACACACACACAATTAAAATTAAAAAATATCTTAAGGAGAAGGAGAACTGGTTCAGTAGTAAAGAGCACTGGATCTTCTAGAGAACCGAGGTTTAATATCCAGCATCTCTAAGAGATTCACAACCATCTGTAACTCCAGTTCCAGGAGTCAATGCCCTTGTCTGACTCTTCAAGCAACAGACACACACACACGGTAAACACACACACACACACACACACACACACACACACACACACACACACACACACACACAGACCCCACATAAAAATAATTTTTAAAACTCTTAAAAAAGAAAACATTTTCCCAAAGCAAATAAAGGAATGTGTATATATATGTGTGGATGGTTGAATATTTTTATAAATGTATGCACTTGCTAAATTTAATTATTCTAAAGTTTCAAATAGTTTAGATCTACTCACCTGAAGAATGAAGGCTGCTTTTCTAACAACATAAAAAAAAGGGTGAAGAAGATACAATTATTTTCTATTACATAGTATGCAAATGTAAATGTTAAGTACAAAATTTTAACATCACAAGTACTACAGTTGAAAACACATAAGTATCAATAATTACACTACATCAATAATTATCCTACATAAGTAGCAATAATTAACATATCTTTATTTATCTTGAGAAAGCCCGCTTCTGCCTCTTGAGTACTGGGAATCATTAGTACATCTTAAAGATTTCTTTAGTGTTAAGGGTTTAAGGGTTGTACTTTATAAAAAATGTAGATTTAACAAGAGGATTTGACTTTTAGAAAAATTCTACTTACTGAAGTTATAGATGTGAGAAGTCTCTTTGGAGTAATAGCCTGGAAAAAGAGAGAGCTTAGCATATTTCTTATTAAATATTGTTAATTCAGAACTTAAAACTAATGATCTTTTTTTCCCAAGACAGGGTTTCTCTGTGTAACAGCTGGAACTAGCTCTGTAGATCAGGCTGACCTCGAATTCACAGAGATCTGACTGCCTCTGCCTCCTGAATGGTGGGATTAAAGGCATATGCCACCACCACCGGTAAAACTAATGTTTTTATACAGAAAATAATTGTTAAGGCCGGGCGTTGGTGGCACACGCCTTTAATCCCAGCACTCAGGAGGCAGAGGCAGGTGGATCTCTGTGAGTTCGAGACCAGCCTGGACTACCGAGCGAGTTCCAGGACAGCCTCCAAAGCCACAGAGAAACCCTGTCTCGAAAACCCAAAAAAAAAAAAAAAAAAGAAAGAAAGAAAGAAAGAAAGAAAATAACTGTTAAATATAAACAGACCATACTTAATTCCTTTATCAAGATTTTTCAAATACTGCTACTCTCTTTGAATATAGAGCCTAACAAAAAAGTTAGAATAGAGCAAGACTTAAAAACTGAAGACAGGCCGGGCGGTGGTGGCGCATGCCTTTAATCCCAGCACTCGGGAGGCAGAGGCAAGTGGATCTCTGTGAGTTCGAGACCAAGCCTGGTTTACCAAGTGAGTTCCAGGAGAGGCTCCAAAAAAATACAGAGAAACCCTGTCTCAAAAAAACCAAAAAAAAAAAAAAAAAAAAAAAAAAACCCCAAAAAAACTGAAGACAGAAAAAAGTTTTTTTTTTGATTTTCAAGACAAGGTTTCTTTATTTAGCCCTGGCTGTCCTGAATACACTCTGTAGACCAGGCTGGCCTACAACTCAGATATCTGCCTGCTCCCGCCTCCCAAGTGCTGGGATTAAAGGTATGAGCCACCACGGCCCAGCCAGGAAAAATTTTCTAATGATTTAGGAAGCAAACAAAAGAGCAATTTCAGAAAGTGGAAACCAAGACCCTAATAATCCTGTTTCTCTTTCTTTGCAGACCTGCTGACACAGTAGCATACAGGAAAGCTGGAGCAGTTGTACACTCAATTGTTAAGAAATATTCAGAAAGTAAGATATTCTGCATGTTTTAAAAGGTCACTGACTATACTTATCATGATCAGTTATATATGTTTACACTCCGCAGTCATACCTACCTAATGCAGTAAATAGAAATGTGGGGCCTGTAACTGATTTTAAAAAAATAAAATCTTTGTGTGGTCACGCGTCTCCTCACAACAACAGAACACTGACTTCTCTGATTATGGTGCTTTTATTAGGTCTCTGTAATTCTCACCTTAGACTTCGATGCCTTCTTCTTCTTATCAGGGCCTGACGAATCTTTCTTTTGTACCTATACACAAATCCAAAATATAACTACCTTAAAATCTAGTATTATTAAGGAAATATATTATTTTTCATTACAGAAAGCTTTTTAACTGTCTTACCAAGCTGTAAACTTCAACCTTTATTTCAAAGTCATTGGAAACGTCATGCCTGAAAAAGAGTATTAAATAAAACTGTAATAAAAACCTAAAGTTATGCCTTTAAAATTATTGTACAAACACTTGTTACAAGACTAAAAGTAAAAGACTCCACTGTATATTTTAAAAAGACAATAAAAGCTGTCAAGAATAATAAAAAATGGTAAAAACAATTTTTTTCTTATAACGTAATTCTGAAATATTTGTGTTATAAAAATCAAGTTGCCCATGCTACTGTAAGTAACCCCTCACCCACAGCCCTGTAGGCAACCCTAATTTAAACTCATTAGCTCACCAAGTAATAATAACTATAATAAATAAAGTAGACAAATTAAAGGGATGGGCTCTGTAGCATATTGGTGGAGCACCTGTCTAACACATGAGGCCCAAGGCCTGATTTCCAATACTCCTAAAAAGAAAAAAAAAGGACTGAAAGTAGATGGTAGACTGTTGAGGACAAAGGGACCAGCAGGAATCAGACGAGACAAGAGAAGGCAGTGGGGAGTTAATATAACCAAAAATATATTACATGTAAGTATGAAAATGTCATGCCTTTATGCATAATATGTGCTAATAAAATGTCACATTAACTACAATAAGCTGGCAAAAAAAAAAGTAACTACATTTTAAATTTTATTAAAGTTTGGGGCCACGTAGTGGTGGCACAGGCCTTTAATCCAGCACTTGTGAGGCAGAGGCAGGTGGATCTCTTTGAGTTCCAAGCCAGCTTGGTCTACAGAGTGAGTTCCAGGTCAGCCAGGGAGACAAAGAGAAACCCTGTCCCTAAAAAACAAAAAACAAAACAAAAGTAAAAGAAAAACAAACACAAACTTTAAAGGTTTGGGATGTAGTTTGCTGATAGAACGCAAGTTTAGCATGACCAAAGCTCTGAGTTCCATCCCACACATTACAATGGATAAAACAAGACAAAAAAACATCACTCAAATGCTGAGACTGTCTTAACCATATTAAAAGAAAAATGTATCTGAACCATAAGATGCTCAATTTACTTACAGAGTAAATGTTGTGGTAAATGTCAAAGCATCACCACTAAGAGAGTTTGAGGTACTTGCTAATGGTGTGGCGACCATATGTTCAGCTCCAGCTTTTAGCATAATTAAGTAGTAATAATTTGATGCATCTGTAATAAGTAACCACATTGCAAAATTAGCAAAAGAAAATCAAATTCAGCTAGATAGCATTCTGGAAGGCCAGAAGTCAAACAGCACCTGACACACATAAAGTTTATATTTACAATTTTTAAGATCAAATTTCTCAAAATTAGAAGCTAAAAAAGACACAACCTGATACCCACAGTCCATGGATAAGCATCAAGCATCCTAATTACATAAAGCAAAATAACTTCATTCTACATTCGTCACTTTCTGCTATAATCCATTAGGCAGTAATTAGCATATACCTTCAAAGGATAAATTATAATTTGTTTTTTCAAAATTGAGATTTAAAAACCATTAAAGTTACTCAGGGATAATATCTAATAAAAATATGAACTACTTATTCACTGTTTATCACTAAGTCACAATATCTCAAAACAAATACTAAATTACCAAGTTTTCTGCATTATACTAAAATCAGGCAACAGGAAAAAATGCAACCTAACATAGCTAATTTCTTTCTTTCTTTCTTTCTTTCTTTCTTTCTTTCTTTCTTTCTTTCTTTCTTTCTTTCTTTCTTTCTTTTTTTTTTTGTTTTTTTGAGACAGGGTTTCTCTGTTGCTTTGGAGGCTGTCCTGGAACTCGCTTGGTAGTCCAGGCTGGTCTCAAACTCACAGAGATCTGCCTGCCTCTGCCTCCCGAGTGCTGGGATTAAAGGCGTGCGCCACCAACGCCCGGCTTAATTTAGCTAATTTCTACAATAACATTCAAACATTTTCTTCATATGTTTGTTTGGAAATAGGATCTCTTTCTGCAACACAGTTGGCCTTGAATTTGAGAAAATGTACTTTTGCAATCTTCCAAACTGCTGGGATTTATAAACACAAGCCACCACATTCAGTGAGTGTTAAAAACAAAAAACTTTAAGTCCTAGGGACTGAATTCATGGACTCACACATGAAGGCAACACTATCAGACTACAGTCCTACCCCAGTTTAGACGTTGCTTTGAGAAGAACAGGTATAACTGACTCAGTTGTTCTATCTGGCCTTGAGTTTAAGACCACTGCAGCCTCTGACAGCTGGGATTACAAGCTTGTTCCACCAGGACCCAGTGACGGCTCATCCATGTAAGTCTCCAGCCTTACTTTTCCCTAACCCAAAATTCATTTCTCAATTCTTTTAAGACTTCCTTACCCCTAGAGACAAAGTTCTAATTAAATAAAAATGCAAAAGAATCCTAAGACAATTCTTATCCAACACTTCACACATGAGTTTTCTAGAAATTGTTCTGCTGTTTTCAGATCCTGCTGTTACATTCCTCTTTATTCACTTGACTCCCAAGTGGTTTTCTAGTAGATTAGACAATTTTAAAAGGCCACTGTGGTTATCCAGAAAAGAAAATACAATTTCAATAGAAGTATATATTCACTGAGTAATTATCACTCATACAACCAATAACACAAAATTTCCAGAAGGAATGTCTAATATGGGGTGAATTTTAACAAGAATAAAGTAAAATAAATTCTTTTAAAAGATCAGGCACATAGCAAAACTAATTAATGGTTTACCCTTGCAAGATAACCTAGGAAAATGTTTCCTGATATAATTATGCTTAGCCTTACTTTGAGATAAAGTGATGCACATAATTGCATGGGTTGGTAACCCTATTATGTAAATAATCCTATTATGTAAGTTTCCCCCTAATTGTCCAATTATGAGGAATTGTCTATACAATATGCAAGCTTTACTAATAGCTTTCTCATCTTTCTCAAACAAATCCAGTCCAGGTGGACTTCAGTTTTCCAAGTGACCCAGCCTCATACCTGGTTTCTGAGCGGTGCTGCAGACAAAGTCTGCTTTCAGAGGCAAGCAGATCTCTGACAAAGTGACTGACCCTTTGGATGGAACAAATCCACTCTGAGATGTGACGGCAGCCTTATTCCTCCTCTGAGGCCCTTCGTTCTTCAGCTTGTTCAGTTCATCAATCAGAAGTGCTCTCTTCTCAGCTATGTAAAATATGCAAGCAAATATTCCAAATATTAAAACTGTGACTGCTCCTGAATGAGACAGATCATGAAAACACTGAAATAGCAACTGAAGAAAAGAACACAGACAAAATCAGCCACTGTCTCTTGGATGGGACTGTTTGGGTAAAATGTCATCTGGTAGTCTGTTACCAACTCCTCATAATGCTTCAGCTTTTAATTGGTTTTCTTACGACACAATACTTTCCCAGCTCCACGTGCTCCACTGTCACACTGGATGGAGAGGCAGGAATGTGCACACACACGTCCATTTAGGATGCTGTAGCCAGGTGCGTTATACATACTTGCAATCAGAAGAAGTCTCTCTGCTTCAGCTTCCTCCAGAGACCCTTTCCCATGTTCTTCATCAACACAGCAGTTCAGGGCCTGGCTGGCCTGATAGATCACTGTCTGCTGCAGATTTATGTCATTGTTGAGCTCCTAGTGAAACCACAGGAAGAAATCAATCAATTAATTAACCACCATTACCACTTTGTTTAAACTTTAATTCTAATTAACCTGACTGCATAATTTCCAAAGTTTTTAGAATACAAATGTTAGTTTTACTATGCAAGTTTTTAGATTATATATTCTTTAAACTGTGGGTTAACTGTGAGCATCACACACACGCAATTATGTGATGAATCCACAATGCTTCTGGCAGCACTTATCCATGCACACCTTCATTGTGGCCGAACTTCTGAAAGCAGCATATATAATCATACCATGCAACACCAATAAATACAACCTACAATGTGATACAACTGTATTGGAGGAGGCATGGAGGCCTTTGTGCTCAGATATTCACTAGGGAAACCTGGAATATTCAGCACACAGGGTTATTCTTCCAAGGGAAGGGATAAAAAACCTCTTTATCTGCCCAGAAGGCTGGAGCAGACCCTCCTTCTAGCCTGGGGACCTTTGTGCTATCTGTTGTGGCTAGAGACTTTTTCAGCATTGGGCACTCCCCAGACCCTTATAGTAAATTCGTTTCGCCAATCAATCTATAGAACCTACCTCTATGGACTTTACAAACAGTTTTGATGTAGTCTCATCTGATGTATATTTAGCTTACTTCTTTGTCTTCAAGATTTATGCATGATTTCTCGGGCATGCAGGATTGAGCTAGTCATTACCAGCATAGTTTTCACTGAATTGTGCTGTGCTTATATATGTCTAAAATAACCACTCGGGGTCAGACTCCAGAAGTTAGAACCAACACAGGTTACTGAGTCCTGATGAACTACACTGCCTTCTTGCCTCTTGCAGCTCATAACTCTGCTGGCTGTGAAAATCACAATGTATGCTATGAATGAACTTTTATTAAACATGAAGAAGTTTCTGTCCCTATAAAATATTAACAGTCAAGTGGGCATGGTGGCACATGCCTTTAACATCAGCAGACAGGAGGCACAGGCAGGCAAATCTCTCTGAGTCTGAGATTCAAGGTCAGCCTGGGTCACCAGAGAGTTCCAAGACAGCCAGAAACACTCAGGAGGCTGGAACAGGCAGATCTCTGAGTTTGAGGCCAGCCTGGCCTATATAGCAAGCTCCAGGCCAGCTAAGATTACATTAGAGACCCTGTCTCAAAATAAATAAATGTAGCATAATGGCCTAACTAATAGAATAAACTTGTAATATTTTCCTACCAGTATTCCTTATTAATTAGTAATAACTTTAAATTGTAGTGCATATTTGGTGCTGGCTCGAGCTCCATATTGTCATCCAGTGAGGGGCTGGGGAAACAGGGCAGTTGGCAAAGTGTCTGTGGCACAAGCATGGGGACTTCGGTCCCGATTACCGCCACCCTTTTAGAAAGGGCCACCAAACAAACAAAAATGTTTTCTTTAGCATCATCCAACTAATAGTCATAATTAAGTTTTGGGGAGCAGAGAGGTGCTGAGGACTGAACATGCTGGGCTTCATTATACTACAGAGCTACACACTACTCAAAAATGATGATGTCATAGCAATGTGATCCAGCTTCCAATTTTCTAAAAAGGGTGGGTTCCTGAAGTCAATCTGACTGAATTCAGGGGTAACTTAGCTTCCATGTGTTAGATTCCCATTCCAGTCACTTGGAGTTGAGATTAATCGGCCACAAGCTCACAAACCAGTTCAAGAAAGTCCAAATTCCCTTCCCATGTCAGAGCATACCTGCATTTTTTGTTTGATATTAACTTGACAAGAAAAGACATTATTCTTTTCACCCAATTTTGAAGCAACATCTTCTTTTCGAACAATCACTTGCTTTATGGAAGGGCGCTCTGTCTCTTTGAATCTTTGAGACCTATATGCATCAATGCTTCAGGAAAAGAGTTACTGTTAGAAATCTACTGAATAATAGTCTTTATCAAACATGTCAACAGAAACTGAATCTCACACATAAGCATCAGCATCATCTGGTGAAAGGAAAACTGATACAAATTACTGCAGGCTGGGACGTCTGAGGTCCTGAGTTCAATCCCCAGGTCACAAACAGTTATCCCAAGCACACACACAGCTCTGTAAACGAGAACTGAGCTGTAGCACTCCTCATGTCAACTTAAGCCAGCAGCGTGGAGGGAAGAAGCCTTCCTCAACACCTTACCTATAGAGAAGATCGCGATCTTCAGAACTAATGCTGTCACCAGACTCAGCTCGAGGAACACGGGTTCTCTGGAATTTTCCTGGTGTGGGACTTGTGGGACTTGCAGGACTTGGGCTAGTGTCTCTCAATTCCAATTTGGGTGAAGAAATTACATTCTACAGAAAAGTAAACAAGTAAATGAGATATTAAGATTTTCATTTTTGTTTTTAAAGACACGTGGTCTTTACTATGTAGTCCAGGCTAGTCTCCAACTCTTGATCTTGACACAACCTCCTGAAACTTGGTGTTACAGAAATGTATCACCACACCCAGTATTTACATACCAGATGTTATGGATGTACAACATTGGTCCTATATGATACTTCATTTAATTCTGAGACTGTAATTCCTTTCTGCTGTTAGGTTACATATCTAACACATCTACTGATTTATAAACAGGCCAAACTTGTACAAAGCACATGGATAAAGAATACACAAATCAGCAAATCCATGAGATGCACTGAAGGTTGCAGTACCTCCTGCCAGTGCTGGTCCACAGAAAAGGCCCTGTTCTTCACAAAGCTAGACCAAACATCACAGGACCAAACTTCAAAAGCTGAGCTAGGGGCTGGAGATAGGACTCAGAGGTCAAGAGCAAGGGCTGACTTTCTAGAGGGCCAGGGTCCAATCCCCAGCACTCACATGGTGGCTCACAACCATCTCTGAAATACAGTCCCAGAGGATCCAGTCCCTTCTATGGCTTCTGCAGGCACTGCACACACATGATGAAGCACTCAGGCATTGCCTCATGCATCAACTCCCCTGACTTTAGTCAGCCACTTACCACTTACGCAAACTTCTCGACAATACTCTTTGTAGGAAAAATACTTTTACAACCAACGGGGTCCAGAAAATAATTTTCAAAAGTTAACTGAATCCTAAAACATGATTAAACACACTTATTTCTCATTGGCAAAAATGTGCTAATTATAATAGTTCCTGTATTGGCTGGTAAAGATGTACCTAAGCTGATTAAAAAGACTTAAAATTCATGGTCTAAAACTGCAACTCTTCTTACACTAGCCTAACACCACAAGGCCAGCCTGGGCTACATGAAATCCTATCTCAAAAAAAAAAAAAAAATCAAGAAAACCTTTTAAATATTAGTACTTCTAACTGAGCTCATCTCCAGAGCTACAGTTGCTAAATTTAGGGTGATAGCAATTAACAAAGGTTAGGCCTCTGAATGTTACTTTGCATTTCCAGTCTAAATATAATGTCTAAATTTTTATGACTTAAAGATTACATCAGTCCTAGAGTGTAGGTACTGTTGCTAATCATGTTTAACAGTTGAGACAATCATGTGATAGAGAAGCCACAACAATTACAAAACACTACAACCAGAATTTGAGTCCAAATGTCATGCTTGTTCAAATATAGCAATATTTACCTGAGGTGATAGGAAATTAGTGGAGTTTACTAGAGTTACGAAGAGAGCGAAACTCATTTAGCAACAGTGGAGGAGATGTGCAGTGTTACTCAGTGTATCTGCTGTGAGCCTGAGCACATGTAGCCTTTAGACTTACCACACCAACCGTCTGAGCTAACGGAGCAAGTAAGGACATAGAAGAGATGTTCAGTGCATCTTCCTGGTCCTCCATGTTTTCTCCTCCCACGGGTTCCATCTCCTCTTGGCTCTTTTCCACATCCAGCTCACCTGCCTCTAGGACATCACTAAAGATGTCATTGATGACTTTGGAGCTATTGATGTCATCATCATCCACACTCATCTCAATTTCACGTACCACTTCTGAAAAACATTTCAGTGGGGAGATACTATGAACCAACATGGCAGAGGAGGCTGAGTTTTCATGCTGACAAAAATAAACAAAGAGGTACCCTAAGGAAAATCACTTCCTAATAACAGAGAAGACAACTGCCAATACACACAAAATCAAGATAAAGCTGGACTCTCATATTTAAAAAGCTCCAAAATATTCTCTAAGATGTAAAGATTAGATTTACAAAAAATTAAACTAATGCTTTGGATTTAAGTGAGAGTATTAAGCAGAACACAAGATTCTGACTTTCAAAAAGTACTCAAGGGCTGGAGAGAAGGCTTGGTATTACTACTCTTCCAAAGAAACCAAGTTCAGTTCTTAGCACTCTCAATGGGCAGCTCAAAACAAGACTTTCTTTTGGCCTCTGAAGGCATCTACAGTCATGTGAGCACACCCCGACAAAGATACACACACACAATTTAAAAATAACAAATCTCTACAGGTGATGGTGACACACACCTTTAATCCCAGCACTCAGGAAGCAGAGGCAGGAGGATCTTTGCTAGTTTGAGGCCAGCCTGGTCTACAGATTAAGTTTTAGGACAGCCAGGGCTACATAGAGAAACACTGTCCTGGAAAAATAAAATAAAAAATAATAAATCTCAAAAACCACTTTCAAATGAGTCTCTTCTATTGTTACGAGCTGTCTTTTCACACAGTAGTCAGCACAGAAAAATATTAACACCATTGAGGGTAATTTTCAGAGTAACCTAACAGTAACCGTTGATAGTACCACAGCTCAGTAGAAGCTACAGTATAACCTAACTTGAAAAACATAAGGTATTGTAAAGTGGCAGGACATTTAAAAACAGAGCATTATCCTTACATTATTGTGTTATTTCTTATAGTGGATCTAGAGCTAAGATCCACTATAAGAAATGAAAACTATAACCAACCAGTCTCCAGTTCAGTCTTCAGGTCTGATGAAACTTTTAAGGACTTTTCCTCTTCTAAAAACAATGTTATTTTCAAAGGGCTGGACTTTGTCATTTTGCTCTCAGTGGAACCTAAAAAAGTTTGAGAAAAATCAAATTAGTGTGTGTGTGTGTGTGTGTGTGTGTGTGTGTAGGTGAAGGTGAACTTATGTGCCAGAATCAGAAACAACCTGAAAATGTAAAATTATGGAGTCATAAATCTTCATTAGCAAGCCACGCCTGTACTTTTAAATATTCAAATCTACAAAAAGTGCTACATCTGTTTCCTCTTAACTTCCTGTTTTTCTTTCCACCAAGAAGATAAGGACAGCAATAGTACAAGTTATTCTTTTTGTTGTTGTTGTTGATTTTTCGAGACAGGGTTTCTCTGTATTGTTTTGGAGGCTGTCCTGGATCTCGATCTATATATAGACCATGCTGGCCTTGAACTCACAGAGATCCGCCTGCCTCTGCCTCCCAAGTGCTGGGATTAAAGAGTACAAGTTATTCTTTATTCAGACTTTTACATAATCAGTTTTTCACCTTAAAAACAAAAAAAAGTGTCAACAAAAATCACTCAAAAACTAGGTCCAGAAGGGAATTTTCTCAGACAACAGACAAAAAGCCTTAGGTAACACTAACACTTGCTGACCAAAGACGGAGAGTTCCTCTAAGACTGGAAACATAAGGCACACCTACTCTCCCTACTGGACTTAATACACGTTTTAAAGTCTTATCAAAAGCTGGAAAGTGGTGGTGCACGCCTTTAATCCCAGTACTCGGGAGGCAAAGCAGGAGGATCTTTGTGAGTTAGAGACTAGCCTGGTCTACAGAGCAAGTTCCAGAACAGACTCCAAAACAATATAGAAAAATCCTGTCTTGAACAACCAAAAACAACCAAACCAAAACCAAAACCTTATCAAAAGCAACTAACTAAATAAAAAAGATACCAAAAGCATCCAAATCAGACCCTTGGTTTCAGCAACACAGAAAAGTAAAAAAATTACAAAGCTATAGTTATCAATATAGAACAATACTGGCAGAAAGACAAATATCAATGGAGCACAACGGAGAGCCCAGAATAAATCTTTTATATGTGATCAAGAATATTCAACAAGGAAACTAAGATGACCACAAGGAAGAGAACAGTCGGCTCAATAAATGATCCTAGGAAAACTGGGTATCATATGAAAAGCATTGAAGCTAGACTCTTACATATTTAAAAATTAGCTAAAAAGATTAAAGACTTAAAATAGGGAAAAGGGTTCATAATGTTGAATTTTTAAGTAATTTCTTATATTTAGAACAAACAGAGGAGGCAACAAAAGAAAATACACATGAAACTACATCAAACTTAAAACTTTTTTTAACCACATGATGGTGGTGGCACAGGCCTTTAGTTCTAGCACTTGGGAGGCAGAGGCAGGCAGATCTCTGTGAGTTCAAGGCCAACCTGATCTACAAGAGCTAGTTCCAGGACAGCCTCCAAAGCCACACAGAGAAACCCTGTCTCAAAAGACCAAAAAAAAAAAAAAAAAAAAAAAAAAAATCCCCAAACTTTTTTTCTGCCAAATACATTCAGCACAGTGACAGACTAGAAGGCAAACTATGAAACAAGACATTTATATATTGTGCGAATGATATTAGTATCTAGAATATACAGACAACTGCTACAACTCAACCCATAAGAAATCAGATGGTGGTAAAGTGGAGGAAGCAGGGCTTGGCTGCAGGGGTGGGGGTGGGGATGGCGGTGGTAGCAGCTCAGTCAGTAGTGACGTGTCTGCCACTTGAGCATGAGGACCTGAGTTTAACACCAGGACTCACATAAAAGTCAGGCATGGTAGTGATCACTTATTTCTTTTTTCAAGACAGGGTTTCTTTGTGTAGCTTGAAACTGTCCTGGAAATCACTCTGCAGACCAGGCTGGCCTAGAGTTCACAGAGATCGCCTGCCTCTGCCTCCTGAGCGCTGAGATTAGGAGGGTGCCACCACCACCTGGCTGTAGTGATCACTTTTAATCCAGCACCAGGGAGCTGGAGATAGGATTATGGGTCAGCTGCCCTCACCTAACAGTGAACCACAGGTCCCAGGGAAGAGATCTGGTTAAAAAAAAAGGTGGACTGTCCCCAAGGAAAAGTACCCCAAATTCATGTATACACACACACACACACACACACACACACACACACACACACACACACACACAGAGACACACACACTGCAACAGGCATGCTTATAATCTTAACAGAGTGGGGGGGGGCGCGTTCGGGGAGGCAGTGGCAGAAGGATCACAGAAGGATTTGAAGTAGATTTCAGGCCGTCTCAGCCTACCTAGCAAGGTCCTGTTTCCCCCCAGAAAAAAGCAGGTGTCATGTGTGTGGGGTGGATGGGGCCAAAAATCATTTTCTCAAAGAAACACAAACAACCACAAAGAATATGAAAAATGTCCATCATCACTATTGAGAAAGACAAATAACATAATGGGATTTCACCTTACACTTACTAAGATGGTTACTCCCCAAAGCAAAAAACATTATTGAAAAACACTCAAAACACAAAATAGCGATGCTGGCAAAAAGCAGAAAAATTAGAATTTTGTGCACTGCTGGTGAGAACATAAAGCAGGGCAACTGTTATGCAACACAATGCAGTAGCTCCACGTCGGTCTCCAGAGACTGCAACGGGCACATCAGCAACCGCGCACGGCAGCAGGAGAGAAGGCACTCGCCCCGTGTGCACACACAGAGCAGTGTCCAGCCTTGACAGTGCCCTCCTTCATCCAGGGTCACTTTCCACTTCAGTTATCTGTTGCCAACCAGAAACAGGAAATCCAGAAAAAGACAGCAAGCTGTAACAATTCTGTTCCTGTTTGAAAACACTGCAGGATATGCAGGAAGAAACCTGAGTTCTTAGGGACACTGAGTTCTTAGGGAGCTCGGGTGCTAGTCACAAGCTTAAGATTCACCTACAGAATCTTGGACTGCATCCCTAAGGATAAAAGGGACTACCGTGTGTTTCTTCTCATGAGGCATTTAAAGAAGACAAATTCACAGCAACAGTATAAAACGGGACGATAAAGGAACAAGGAGAATTTTTGTTTAACAAGTACAGTTTCAGTTTTACAAGCTGACGAAGTTCTGGAGATTGATGACAAATGAACATAATTAACAGTAATGAAGTGTGCACTAAAAGAAGTTAAGTTAGGGGGCTGGAGAGATGGCTCAGCGGTTAAGAGCACTGCCTGTTCTTCCAGAGGTCCTGAGTTCAATTCCCAGCAACCACATGGTGGCTCACAACCATCTGTATTGAGATCTGGTGCCCTCTTCTGGCATGCATTTATACATGCGGCAGAACACTGTACACATAATAAATAAATTAAAAAAAAAAAAAGAAGTTAAGTTAGTAAGACTGGCTTCAGGGGATGGGGTGATGGTTTCTTTATTGAAACAGGGTCTCACCATGAAGCTCAGGCTCCATTTAAATATCAGCAACCAGCCCCTCTTAGCCCGTAGAGGACTAGGATTACAGACATGGACCACCATGCCTAGCTAAAGCTAGTAGAGTTTAGGATGTTATTCTTTTTTCTTTTTTTTTTTTTTTTTTTGGTTTTACGAGACAGGGTTTCTCTGTATTGTTTTGGAGGCTGTCGGTCCAGTCTGGCCTCGAACTCACAGAGATCCGCCTGCCTCTGCCTCCTGAGTGCTGGGATTAAAGGCGTGAGCCACCAACACCCGGCTCTTTTTTTTGTTGTTGTTAATTTATTTTTTTTAATTTAAATTAGAAACAAGTTTGTTTTACATGTTAATCCTAGTGCCCTCCTTCGCCCCCTACCAACCCTCTATCCCATTCCCTTTCTGCTCCCCAGGGAGGGTGAGGCCTTCCATGGGGGATCTTCAAAGTCTGTCACATCATTTGGAGGAGGGCCTATTCCCTCCCCTGTGTGTCTAGGTTAAAAGAGTATCTATCCCTCTGTGTGGAATGGGCTCCCACAGTCCATTTGTGCACTATGGATAAATACTGATCCACTATCAGAGGCCCTATAGACTGCCCAGGCCTCCTAACCCACATTCAGGGGGTCTGGGTTGGTCCTATGATGGTTTTCCAGCTGTCAGACTGGGGTCCATGAGTTCCCCCTTTACGTTATTCTTTTTATCACACATTTATTAAAATAAAAATTTGCCAGGCGTGATGGTTCACACCTTTAATCTCAGCACTCAGGAGGCAGAGGCAGGCGGATCTCTAAGTTTGAGGCCAGCCTGGTCTACAGAGTTCCAGGACAACAGGGGCTACAGTGTGAGACCCTGTGGGAAGGAAGGAAGGAAAGAAGAGAGGGAGGGAGGGAGGGAGGGAGGGAGGGAGGGAGGGAGGGAGGGAGGGAGGGAGGAGGAAAGGAAAATAAAAATTTCAAAGTGTTTGTGATAAACCAGGTGTGGTGATTCACACCTATAATTCCAACACTTAGTACACTGAGGCAGAGGATTAAAAATTCTAGGCTAGTCTGGGTTACACAGTAAGATCCTACCTCTAAAAAGAAAGAGGGGAGGGGAGGGGAGGGGAGGGGAGGGAAGAGCTCTGCTTCTTAGCTTTGGCCTCTATTGCCTCCTTTGCCATGATGGACTGTATTTCTCTAGAGCTGGAGCCAGAACAAAGTCCTTCTCTCTTTGGGGTGGGGACAGAAGCCAAGAGGGAGCTCTTATTCTGGGAAGAACTAAATGGTCAAAAATGAAGCTGGTTGGAGAAGAAAACAGCTCTGCCTGGGCACAGCACAGCACAGCACAGCATAGCAGCACCTGTCCTTGAGCCATTTCCAGCCATCTGCAGCAGCACACGGTGCAGCTGAGTAGCATGTGACACTAACCTGAAGGCTCTGCACTAGAAATCTTCACTGCAGTTTGATTCTCAGCCACTTTATTTGTTTCAGAAATCGATGGGGTGTTTGAAACAGTTTGATGTTTCTTGAGGGGAGTATTCTGACAGTTAACTTCCTACAAAAAACAAATGGAGAAGTAAATTCTATTTCTCAGAATTATCTTAACTAGTTTATTAAATGAGATAAGACTATTATTAAATAATATTCTATTTTTTTAGAATAAAAGAAATAATATACTACTAAAAGGGTCTAGGCCAGTGTTAATAATTTTCAGTGTGTAAGATCCCCATTGTGTAAAATATTTAAAGGACTAGGAATCAAGAAAGAATGAAAATTCATATCAGAGTTCAGTTTTACACAAACCAACTAAAGTGAAAGCGACACAAAACAATTTCCCATCATTTTTCTCTGTCCTTTCCTATACACTTTTAAGATAATTCTTACATGAAGATTTTATTTAATTATCATTTACTCAATGTATAAAATTCTAAACATCCAATAATAAGGAAGACAACAGGGAAAAACATGCATTCTTCTACATGTTTACAGACTTTATGATGGACAGGCCTAGTTACCGCAGAGCCCACTGCTAACTTGTAGAGTTCTCAATAATCTGCTCTCGCCCTGCAGTGGAGACACACTTTATGATGGCCAGTCATGGAGGCACACATCTGTAATCCAGCACTCTGGAGGCAGATGCAAAAACAGCACTGCAAGTTCAAGGCCAGCCTGGTCTACACAGTAAGATACCATCTCAAAAGCACACTTTATGATTATAGAGTTACTGGAAACCAGCAAGGTAAGCTAACAGCAGCTAACACACACAGAGTCTAGGATGCAGCCTGTCACTTACTAAGCATTTCATTGCCTCAGCAGGTCAAATCCTCTGGATTAGCACCCACTGTTTCTGTTTTGTCAATGAAAACAGGCACAGGGGAGCTAAGGCATTACACACACAGTTAGTGAGTGGCACCTCTCATCTGGCTCCTGGTTAGACTGTCTCTCAAATTAGACGCTTCTGACATACAAAACAGAGTAAACTCTTTTTTTTTCTCAGAGTAAACTCTTAAATGCTATATACAGGCTATTTCAAAGGTGGGCAGGAAGTTTGAGGAAGAAAAATTGAGGCACATTGCAGAAAACAGAAAAATAGGTTTCAAAGTAATCACTGAGAGAAAAAACGTCTGTGCTATGATGTCCTGGCACCTCAAATGTTTGCTAAGTGAGCAAGTGACTGTGATGAGAATGGGAAACAACTATCCTTTTTCTCAAAGCTTTAAAAAAATGACCACAGAACAAGCACTGCTCCCTGCTGCTTCCTTGGGCTATGGTCACCACCCACATATACACACTGTATATGAAAGGCAAGACTGTGAGGCCAGAGTTCTTAGAAGCCCTGATTTCATGCTTACCAGCTGGGAAAGAGAAATGACATTACTAACTTACACTGCTATTGGAAAGATTCAATGATATTTTACAAGTGTCCACCTAGACTCTTTGGCCATACCTGTGCAATCTGGTTATAGTACACGTATATCATATGTATGGTCTTACAGCCTGTAGAGTTTGAATGAGCAATGTCCCCCACAGGTTCATGTATTTGAACACACAGCTGCCCAGGTGGAGGTGCTATTTGGGGAGGTTTCAGAACCTTTAGGATGTGGAGCCTTGCTGGAGGAAGTGTGTCACTGGGAGTAGGCTTTGATGGTTTACAGCCTTACCCTACTTGCTGTTCTGTTTCCTGTTTGTGGGTAACCAGCTCCTGCTCCACATTTTCCTTGACTATTGCCATGATTTCCCACCACAATCAACTCTACCTTCTGGAATCCTACGTCAAAACAAACCCTTTCTTCCTTAACTTGCTTTGTCATGGCGGTTTTTTACAGCATCAGAAAAGTAACTGACACATGGCCATCAGACTCTCAACTCTAACGTCTTGATCCCTTCTAATTCTGAGTTAGCTCCCTCTTCCTTCATGTTCTAGTCAAAGGCAGAGAAGTGAGCCACTAACAGGCAGACATCAGATCCTGACAGCAGGGCTTAGACATCAGGGCCAGCAGTTTCCACCTTGCTCTTCTCACAAACGGTTCCCTCTCCTCATCCTACACCTATCAGCTCCGTTTCCTTCACCTTAACTTATTAGCTAACTCCTTTCCACCAATGCTAAAACATTCTTAAGTCACAGAAAACAAAAAACCCAGCTCAAACACACTTTCTTTTTTATGCCCTCCAGGTACCACCTCCTTTCTCCCTCCCCTTTAGATAAAACTTGTGGCAACTGCCTACACTAGCTCTGCTCTCTTCACCCTGCCCCCCCCATCCCTGCATTCTTCACTCGACACATCATAGCAGACTTCAAACTTGAAACCAGAGCATGAACAAACACTAAATAGACAAACCTCAGCAGGCTCATTTCAACCCTCAGTGGACAAAACCATCCCTTCCTTTTCAAAAAGGTTTGTCTCCCTGAACTTTAATGACTCATGTATTTTTCATCCATGTTTTTGGCTACTCCTTTTGTGGGAAACAAAAGGATTTCTGGGGAAGAAAACCTATGAACTCTCTGTTAGTATCATGTTCATAAGTTTGGTCACATGAATAAGTAACTGCTATCTCACAAGCTTCCAAGGAATTGTTTTGTTTTGTTTTTTTTGAAACAGGGTTTCTCTGTATAGCATTGGAGGCTGTCCTAGAACTAGCTCTTGTAGACCAGGCTGGTCTCGAACCCACAGAGATCTGCCTGCCTCTGCCTCCTGAGTGCTGGGACTTTAGGCGTGTGCCACCACTGCCCAGCTCAAAGGAATTATTTAGTACAAATAATCTAAAGACTTTTGTCTCCAGGGACACAGGAGAAAAACCTAAGAATCAGGCAGAAAAGTCACTGGCAATGCCAAATGCTGCTAAGAAGTCTAGTTAAATGTCTGAAACTGATCAATGAAAATCATGGAAGAACCTGAGAAGAAAAGGAGAGGAAAGAGAAAAGAAAATGCGGACAACGAAAAGTAAACCTATGGGAGTGACTATCACACTGGCTAACAGGCAGATAGATTGCTAATAGACTTAGAAAATACTATCTGGATGAATGTATCCAAGTGTGACTGTGTTTGTGTAAGAAGACTAATTATTGAAGACTAATTATAATAAAGAAACAATTAGGAGGCATACAGAAACTGAAAGGGTTGCAGACACTAAAAGCATATGTAGGTATGCTGGGTAGTGTTTTGTCAACTTGATACAAGTCAGGGTCACCTTGGAAGACTGGCCAACATGCAAATCTGTGAGGCATTTTCTCGATTAATAGCTGACGTTAAAGTGTCTACCCCACTGGGCAGGTGGTCCTGGGCTATATAAAAAAAAGCGGGCTGTGCAAGACATGAAGAGCAAGCCAGTAAGTAGCATTCCTCCATGCACCTCTGCTGTAATTCCTGCTTCCAATTTCTGCCCAGACATTCCTCCATAATGGACTATAAAATGTAAACTCAAATAAACCCTTTCCTCTCCAGGTTGTTTTTTTTCAGGGCTTAATCACAATAGAGAAGCAAACTAGAACTGTAGAAAAATTAAACAGTTACCAATGAGAAATGTAGATTCCAAGTACTTTAAAAGCAGCATCTATGCAGAGCACTAAGAATCTGAAAGTGGGTAAGAACTGACTGTAAGGTCATCAGTGAGAAGGCTGTAGAGTGGGATAGACATGGAAAATACCACATGAAACAAGAGTTATGACACCAGCACGGGAGAATGGAAAGGAAGGTGTTTAAGAACTATTTACAAAGCTGGGCATGGTGACTCACACCTATAATCCCTGAACTTGGGAGGCCAAGACAAGAGGGTTACTTCAGAGTCTGGCAGTCTAGGCAAGACTGAGAGACCAACCACCCTCTCAAAACTAAAAAATTGAAAATTACTTTAGCACATCAGTGACATTTCTTGTTCACATTACCTGGTGGGCTTCTAGTTGCTTGTTTCTTGACTTTTCATCCTTTTCTGCACTCCATAAATTGCTCTTGTCAAATCGACCACGGAGACATGCTAGCTCTTTTTCACGTTCCTACACCCATGAAATAAGTCAGTATTCTACACAAGACATCAACAGCATTTAACAATATTCAAATTCTTAAAAGCTAGATATGGCAGCATACAATTGTGATCCCAGCACTTGGGAGGTGGAGGCAGTAGGGGCAGTTCAAAAATCATCTTCAGCTACAGGCTACATTGAGATCAGCTTGAAATCAATAAGGCCTTAGGCAAAAAAAAAGATTAAAAAATACCTTTTCTTGCCAAGTGGTGGTGGCGCACATCTATAATCCCAGCACTTGGGAGGCAGCAGCAGTTGGATCTCTGTGAATTCGAGGCCAGCCTGGTCTACAGAGTGAGTTCCAGGACAGTCAGAGTTACAAAAAGAAACCCGGTCTCAAAAACAAACAAACAAAAAACAAAACAAAACCCAATTTTCTTGTATTCAGTTATAAAATATAAAGATTCACAGCACATGTTGAAGATGATATATTTTTTCGTTGTCCAGTTTGCAGCAAGAGGTACAGAGAAGCAAAGTGCTGTTGGCCAAAGGCAGGGTTAGTGGTTAAACCTGTATTCCTAGCACATGGAAGCTGAGGAAGAAGGACTGCTGAGAACACAGGGCTAGCCTGGGCTGCCCAGTGAGATCCAAGGCAGCCTAGGCTACAGAATGAGATATGTCTTGTAACTAGAACATGTCCTCAAAAGGATTCTCTTTACTCAGTCAAAGAGACTCAATATTTGGTCTGGAAAGATGGCCCAGTGGGTAAGAGCACTGGCTGCTTTTGCAGAGAACCCAGGTTCAGTACTAAGAGTCCAAAGGAGGCTTGCAACCATTTGTAATTCTAGTTCTAGAGGATCTGCTGCCCTCTTCTGGTCTCTGCAGCCACTGCATGCATGTGATACACCCTCACACTTAGAATAAATACATGTTTTTTTAAAAAGAAGTCTTGTATTTATCTTAGGTTCCATGCTGAGGACATGTAGTAAGTGCCTTACCTGTTTGAGCTGCTGTGCTACATGGGTAGTTGATGAACATGTGTTTTGCTTGAATAATCTTTCCTGAATGGCCTTTGTATTTGGAGTGATATTAGGGGTTCTGGTTGATGCTCTAAAAGCTGGACTTTCTTTGCTGTGTTCTTGACAGCGCTCTCCGAAGCGTTCCAGAAAAGGCTTAATCCCTTTTCCTCCTATAAAAACACAGTTTTGAAATCTATTCAAAATAACTAACAATTATCATTTCCAAGGGAAAAATTCTAAAACCCATTAGTTATCAAATACTTTGCTTCTAGGAATAATCATTCACAAAAAGAAATTAAAATTGTTCAAAGAATCTACTAAAAATGTGTTCTACATTTTATCTTTATTATTTTAAATTATGTGTACACATGTGTGTCTCTGTGTGGGTGCCCATTAGTACAGGAACAACACAGGCCAGGTGTCAAATCCCCTGGAGCTGGAGTTATAGGCAGTCTTGAGCTGCCTGACATGGGTGCTGAGAACAGAACTCAGGTCCTCTGAAAGAAAAGTACATATCCTCTTAACTGATAAGCCATCTCTTCAGCCATTATGTCCTAAAATATATAGGGTTTAGTAATTAAAAGGGGGGGGCAGCAAACTGGCTTAGCAGGTTAAAGTGCTTGCCACAAAACCCTGAGAACCTGCATTGATTCCCCAGAGCCCCAATAAAATCAATAGATTTAGTGGTTCACATCGTACTCCTGGACTCAGTACTCTATGGTTAAATGGGAGGGGGAGAAATGGCTGGAAACTCAACAGCATAGGAGAGAAATAACAAGAGCCTCCCTCAAAATAACAAGGTGGAAAGCAACTCCAGACAGCTGTCCTCTGACATTCATGCAGGCCTTTGAATATGAACATAAACTATTGCTTTTAACAAATTATGAGTTATGCAACTAATGGTCTTAAAAGAGTGCTATTTGAAATAGTATAAAGTACTTTTGTAGTAGGGCAAATGGTATATATATATGCACACACACACACCCCTATATCTATCTCCACCTCTGTCAAAAGATTGTATTATGTAAAGCAGAGTTAATTATAGGATGTTGGCAACACTTTCCTGTGAGGGACATGACAGTAAGTAGGGATTTTGTGGCCCTATGGAGTCTTTCACATATTCAGTTCTGCAGTAAAGACTGAAAGGAGCCACAGGAAAATATATAAACAGATGTGGCTATTATAGTAAACTTTATTTGAAAAGGAAAAGAAATAACAAACAGCAGAATTCAACATATAATCTCAGTTTGAGGACTATGTATCATTTATCACCACTTCAAGTATATATATCAAACTAGAGTTTAATACAAAGAAACATTAAATTGAATATCTGAGGTCCTGGTAATGTAATGCTGACTATATCTACCAATAAATGAATAATCTGAAGACTGCTTCATGCCTAAGTCTTAAGTCTTTAGAAAACAAGAAAAAAGAGAGAGCTAGTCTGTGGGGTTGGAGAGGTGGCTCAGCAGTCAAGAGCACTTGTTGCTCTTGCTGAAGAGCTGGGCTCAATTCATTGCATCTACATAGTGGCTCACAACCATCCAGAATTCCAGCTCCTGGGGACCTGAAGCGCTCCAATTACTTTGTTGGGCATCAAGCACACAAATTAGGTAAAATAACATACACATAGCAGAAAACAAATAAATCTTTTAAAAATAAAATATTTTTTTAGTATTTTAAAAGCCAGGAGTACTATAGATTAAACCCAGAGCCTGTGAATGCCTGGCAAGTGTTTTACCACTGGGCCCTACCTCGTTTCCAATTCTCATTTAGTACATCTAGGAATTGACTGTGGCTTTCTGTTTACCCTACTCTCGTCTCCACCTATGACATGAACTATGCACTGTAGGAAGAATGTGTTTTCAGGAGGTAGACACAGGCTGGGGTGTGGCAGTTAGTAGAGTATGTGCTTAACGGACACGAAGCCGCCACGTTTGATCCCAGCACTGCACAAACTGGGTATGGTGGTGCATGTCTGTAATCCCAACACTGGGACCTGGAGGTAAGAAAAGTCCGAAGTCATCCTGAGCTAGAGTAAGCCAGGGGCACATAAGATCAAATGAGACGCACTTAAAAGAGAAGGCGGTGGGTGCATGGGAATACGGCTCAACGAGTAAGAGAGTCTGCCCTGCAAGCATGAGGGCCTGACTTTGAACCCTTAGACCCGTGTGAGGAGGGGAACAAAACAAACAGGCATGGCTGCACGTGTTTGTAACCCTAACCTTGGAAGGTAGAGATATATGGCTCCGGGTACTCACAGGCTGGCTAGCCTAGTCAAATGGAGTTCCCAGTTTTCTGGAGGTTCTGTTTCAAGACAGTAAGACAAACAATGTCCTTCGCTCACTCCCACGTGTGCATACAGGCATTTCCACACACCCAGACATACGCCTTAAGCACACAGTTAGACACAGCTCACAGCAAATTCTGTCACTATGCATTTTATGCTAACTTTTTCAGTCCTGTGTTTCTGAGTCAGTAATATGTGAAGCACACCAGAAGATATGTCACAAGATCAATATAGCATTTTATGGAACATCATCTTACTACGATAAGAAATACACAACTTCATTTATATATACAAAGTATATACATATGCAAATATAATGGAAATGCAGTACTCTATATGCACATTAGCTCTTCTCTATTGCTTGTTGGTGGTGAAGCAGAGACAAGTAGATCTTAAGAGCTCAATGCCCCCCCAACATAGCCAAGGTAAGACTAGATTTATTCTAGTCAGAGTAAAGACTAGAAAGCAGTCATACTTAGTCATAAGATTGGTTCTCCACTGTTTCCCTAAAATATAGGTTCTCATTGTATGTGTTTTACTGAATCAAAAAACAGAAAAAGAAAAAAAAAGGTAGCCTGATCATCCTGTTTAAACTGTTGCAACATAACAGATTAAATACTTTTACCAATGCTGGGCGTTGGTGGCGCACGCCTTTAATCCCAGCACTTGGGAGGCAGAGGCAGGCAGATCTCTGTGAGTTCGAGGCCAGCCTGGTCTACAAGAGCTAGTTCCAGGACAGCCTCCAAAGCCACACAGAGAAACCCTGTCTCGAAAAACCAAAATAAATAAATAAATAAATAAATAAATAAATAAATAAATAAATAAATAAATGCTTTTACCAGCAAAGGGCCAGTGTTCACTAATGAATATGCTTTCAATCAGAGCCCAATAAGAAAGTTGGGCCTACAGCCTCCAAAACAATACAGAGAAACCCTGTCTCGTAAAAACCAAAAATAAAAATAAAAAAATAAAAAAGAAAGAAGTTGGGCCTAGGGGACACAAAGCTTTTTTTAATTCAGTAGATGGGAAGATAGAGATGAAAATGTCAAGGTCATCTTTGATACAAAGCAACTCCAGCCCCAGCTGGAGTACATAAGATACTCTCTCAAAGAGAAAAACAGGAAAGAAGGGAGGAAGGAATAAAGAAGAAGGCTCTCATCTAGCACTCTACAGTTCACAAGAGGAATTTAATCTGGGAACTAGGCATGATGATAGAAGTCTAATCCCTGACCCTGGAGACTATGGGGAATCTCAACATGGAGACCAGCCTGGGCTACTGTAAGTCCCAGGCCAGCCTGAGATACATAGGAAGACCTTGACTCAAAACCTGAAAACAGTAAGTGACCATTAAATAAAATGCTGAATGCGAGCATACGTAACCTGGCGTTGCAGGCTTGTCCCTGGGTTGGGACTGCAGACAAACTTCCCTGTTTGCCTCCTCTTTGGACTGAAGTGCCTGGGGTAAAGCTGGTTTCTCCCTGGGCTTCAATGCCTCTGTTCTCAGAGGACTAACACTTTTGTGAAGTAGCTCAGGATTTTGTGCCTCACAGTTCTTAGTACTGGGGATGAGTATAGCAGATTTCACGGGGGAAGATGGCGCTTTCTGAAACATGACAACACATAGGGTAAATACGTCACAGTGTAGATACCACAAAGCAGTTCAAGTTTCACTTCCTTGGTAGCCATTATACAAAACTTACCAAAAGCATTATTCTTTTGCTCTCATTTAACATGATTTTTTTATCAACTTATAAAATGCTGTTATTTAAACTATAGGTCATTTAGTCTTACAATATATTGACATCTAAGTAGTTATCAGGGGTAGGGTCACTCCCAGTTTTATAATAAAAAAATTCTCAAATTATTGTGCTAGTAGTTTTATTAAACTTTTAAATTATGTTCTATCAAAATATTATTTTATATGTATTTTTAACTAAGTATCAATTCAATAAGATATGAATTGAGTATTCCTGACTAAAAGCACTTGGTTATCAGAATTGGAAATTTCTTTTAAAATACTTACAATCGAGGGTATCATTGAGATGGGACCCAAGTTTAAACACATAATTCAATTCTGATACATACATACATACATATCTTAGACATTGCCTGGAAGCAATTTTAAATTATCTTTTAAAAAAAATTATTTCAGGCTGGCAGTGGCGGCATACGCCTTTAATCCCAGCATTTGGGAGGCAGAGGCAGGTGGATCTCTGAGTTAAGGCCAACCTGGTCTAACAGAGTGAGTTCTAGGACACTGAGGGCTACAAAGAGAAACCCTGTCTCAAAACCCCCCCCAAAAAAAATTTCAGCCAAGAAGTGTGGGAATACAGCTCAGTGACTCGGTATTTGCTCAACATGCAGGAAGCCTTGAATTCAATTCCCAGTACCACAAGTAACAAAATGCATGAAGCAGTTTCTCGAGGAACTTTCTACTTGTAGCACTCAGTGAGCACTCAGAAGGCTTCATTCAGATTTTTGAATCATTTCCGATTTTGAATTTTTGACATTAGGGATGTCTAAATACTACAAGTATCATGGACTTGAAAGTTGATTATAAAAAATAGCTAAATTCAGCCAAGAACTATGCTAAGTATTTTATGCAAATTAGCTTATTATTCTAATAACCCTGCTCCCATATTTTATGCAACAAGGAAAAATAAGGCTTTACATAAGTAGCTTGTACAAAGTAACATCTCTCACTATGTCTCAGAGCTGGGATTGAAGGTAGGTCTAAGTCCAAAACCTGTCTACACTAATGGGTCATCATCAGCAATACTATCAACATTCTTTTTCTTTTCCTTTTTTTTAACTACTGAGGTAATATTACATGCATAAAGTAAAGTTTCAAAAACTTCAAACGGTTACAGAGAAAGTGTTTTTGCTGACATTGTCTGTCAATGTGCCTTCCTTGGAGGCAACGACAAATACAGGTTCGTACTCTCAGTCCAGAAATATTCAGTATCTTATATTTATACATACTTACAAAGGTGCTGTAATAAAGGGATTATTTTTACTTTTCCCCCAAATAGCAAAAATGAGGCCCCATCATATTCGTTATTATATACTTTGAATTTTTAAAATTTAGTTACCTTAGATTAACATAATTTCAGTCAGGTTAATTTATCTTAGATAATTACCAAGTTTATGTTTTTTGTTTTTTATAAAACATTCTAAAAACATATAAATATGCTGCACATAAACTACTTTTATAACAAAAGTTTCAAAAGATCAAAATGGTATTACTCACCAGAGAGCTGGACGCTGAGGCTTTAAGCAATGGTCCTTCGACAGCACTTGATGATGGGGCTTTACTGACAGAGGCCTTGCCATCCCTTTGGGAACAGCATGTAGTTTCCTGCTGAACACTGCTACTATTGATGCTAGCAGATGCTCCACTTGCCGAGGAAGATTTGGATAAACAAGTGGTACCAGGCTGTTCTTGTACACTATTTTGCTTTGTAGATGAGTAGCTTACATCATCTTCCCAGGAGCAAATTGTCGCAGCAAGGTTGGCCAGACGGCCCCTTCTTCCAACTGGGGTAGCTGAGGCATTTGACAGGGGTGGCTTGGTAGGTGAAGCAGCCTTTTCCTCAGATGGCATTGGTGAGAAGTGTGAGCTTTCCGATACATCATCTGAAAATGTTTTCAGAAAAATCAAAAGCCATATTCAACAGCTATTCTTACGTACAGAATTTTAAAATGAGATTGATTGTATTCATGAAATTACATTACTTAAATGGTACTTAATCCAAACTGAAACACTCTTAACACACACGTTTTACAGTTTTTTTTTTTGGTAGATTATAGATGCTGTAAGACACTACTCCAGGGCTGCATGCTGCGGTGATAACTCAGTGGATAAAATGCCTGTAACTCAAGCATGGGAAGCTGATTGTGAACCCTCACAAGCTAGGTCAAGGCACACGTATGTATCATATAAAAAAAATCTAATTTAAAGGTACTACTGCATTATCTCACAGTTAATTCATGGAGTTATACATAATCCTGAGCAGTGGATCAGTGTTTATCCCTCGAATACTAACAGACATTGTTGTGTCCATAGCACAAAGAGGGATGCTCTCTCAGCCTGGACTCTTAGGGGAGTGCCTGGACCCTACCCTGAGTGAAATGACAGACTCTAGATATCCCCTATATGGAAGGAATTGGCAATAGGGTGGGAGGCTGGGGGGGGGGTGATGGGGATGCGGGAGGAGGGGAGGGAGAGTGGAACTGGGATTGACATGTAAAACAAGCTATTTAAAATTAAAATAATAATAAAAAAAAGTGCATCCTACAGAAACCTTTTATTCTAAAGAATGAAATGGACCAATGACACAACACAAAGCTTTAGTACAACAGAGAGGCCCTATATCTACACATCCAATACAGCAAGCACTCACCACATGTGGTCAGAGCTCTGAAATGTGGCCAGGGAAACTAAGAAACGGAACCCTATTTTAATTAATTTAAACAAAACAGTTACTTAGTGACTATTTGGATAGCATTTGTATTTCATTTGGAGACAAATCACAATAGCAATATTAAAAAAGCATGAATATAAATAAGGGAACCAAGGTTTGGGGCACATCATGTTCTACATATACAATCAAGAGAAGAGACCACCCCTCCTTACTCTCTTCTGTTCAAGCTTCTATAACCCGGCCTGAAATTTTAATTCTACCCTTCTAACACCTCAGGAATCTTGTTTCAAAAGATTCGTCCTCCTTACAAACTCTTTTCAGCACACAAATACTTGCTGAAATAAGTTCATTCTTCTTAAAATGGGCTGATAAAATGACTCTGTGGATATACATCAACAGTTCTCAAGATGTGGGTTTCTCTGTGTAGCTTTCTAGACCAGGCTGGCCTTGAACACACAGAGATCCGCCTACCTCTGCCTCCCAAGTGCTAGGATTAAAGGCTTATGCCACCATTGACCAGCAACATGGCAGCTTTCAACAGTCCCAGGGGATCTGACACTCTCCTCTGGGTTCAACAAGTGCCAGTCATCTATGTGGTGTGCACTCACACGCATATAAAACTCATAATTTTTATAGTAAAAATGAAGTTTATCAATTTATTCATATTGCTTCATCTTAGTTCTGGCTATGCACCCTAATTAAAGGGTTTTATAATCTAGAGACAAAAGTACACCTTGTGCTCCCCATACTTCTGAGATGCTAATCCAAAATTTTTCCTATCTATATTTTCTCTGGATCTCAGTTCCTTTTAAAGTATGATATGGGTATTTCAGGAAGCCATTTCAAGTATTTTACCTAACAAGCAGGAGATGAATAAAGTTAGTCATGACAAAAATAACACTGGTACATAACTGCTAACTTGCCTGCATATAGGTTCAATCACTTATCTCTTTCCAGAATTATAGCCTAAGAATACACTTTACCGTTCAACATACTGGGAGTGGGGATATTTTGTTTTGACATCTTTTCTCCTATCAAACAGCACCCCACACCTTAGTGATACATGACTGAAGAAACAGCTGAGGGTCGGTACTTTTTCACTGCAAACAGGAAGTAATCTGTTATTAGGTTGTTTCTGTACTAGTTCAAGAACCTCAATACCTGCTTCAATGAGAATGTTTCATTCTCATTCACTGTGCCTATGGATATACCCCTAGTATACAAATTATCTACAAGCAAAGAATATACATACAGATAAAATAAAAGCACTCATCTTTCATGCCACTCCAGGCTGGCCTTAAATTTATAATCCTCCTGCATCAGCCTCCCCGGTGCTAGGATTACAAACATGTAGCACCACTTTCAGCTCCAGGCTGAATCTTACCAAAAGAAATTCAGGGACCAACCCACCCTTTTCATTTAATACCTGCTATATCACTATCCCAATGGCGCCGTTGCTCAGCAAGTTTTTGCATTCGTGTTTTAACTGAGGAGGCAGCAGATGCTTCTGATCTTGAGTTCAGCCCTCTGTCCAAGTGGAGCAGCGATGGTGGGGCAGCCACAGAATCCCTGCTGGCAGCTGATGCTCGGGGCTGTGCCTGGGGGGGTGTGGGCCTTGGAGAACAAGGTTCTGCAGCAGGTGACTCAACAGGTTCTTTATTTTCTACGTCCAAAACTTCGACTTCAGTTTTGTCAGAGCATTGCTTTTTTGATGGTGATGGTTTTGTACAAGATTTCTCTAGATCCAAACAAAAATACATACTGAAACCTCTGCAGTTTCACGACCTGAAAAACTAGAGGTTGGCAGTTAATACGGGGTCAAATTTCTCTAATACTTTCACTACTTTTGCTGTAAGAAAAAGGCAAAAACCTCTGTTCACTAACTTCAAAATAAGACAAAAAAAAACTTTGTTTAGGTGAACATATCATTTTTCTATTAAAAACCTCAATGAAAATAAATTTAAATATTTCCCAGATGTATACATAAGATGTGATGTAGTTTTAAGACAGCAAGACATAAACAGCACATATACAAGAATAACTAACTACTCTGATTTTGTTTTTGTTTTTTGGTTTTTTCAAGGCAGGGTTTCTCTGTGACTTTGGAGGCTGTCCTGGAACTCACTCTGTAGACCAGACTGGTCTTAAACTCACAAAGATCCACCTGCCTCTGCCTCCCAGTGCTGGGATTAAAGGCGTGGGCCACCAACGCCCGGCAAGAATTTCATAGCTTAATCACCTTATTTTAAGGAATGAAAAATCATGCTTGTAGAAATTAAGTTGTTTCTTTCTTTCTTAAACAACCTTTCATGGACAATAACTAAAGGAAAGCAGAAGAGCCCCTGACTGAGGCTTGGAAGAAGAGAGGACTCTGAAGGCAACTGAACTATCTGTTCTATACCAAACAAAATCATTACAAATACTTAACATCTCATAATTTAAACTTCTATGAACACCTAGAAAGTGAAAAATCTTAAAGACATCGTTTAAAATAAGGCATTTCACTTCTACCCAAGAACTGTTCTCACCGTCCTCTTGAAATGAGTGTGCGTAGGTGTATGTGCGCGTGTGTGTGCGCTTCTTTGTGGCACAGGTGAGTGCAGGTGAAGTCAGAGGTGACATGCGTGTCTTCCCCCATGAGCCCATCATATCACCTTATAACACAAAGCAAGGTTTCTCTCTTGAAGTCAGAGCTCGTCAATTCAGCTAGTCTAGATCTCCAGCTTGCCATGACAACCCTGTTCCCACCTCCTGTGTCCTTGCCATGCCCCAGAATTCACATGGCTGCTGGGAATTCAAATTCCAGGCCTTACAATTGGATATCAAGTATTTTATCCACTGAGCCATCTTTCCAGGCCAGAACATTAACATTTTAAACAAGAATGAAAGGCCAGTGAGATGGTTCAGTAGGTAAACATGCAACAAGCACATTCCTGGTAACCTGAGTGTGTTCCCCACAAGAAAGGTGAAGAGAGAAAACCAAGTCTATGGAGTTGGCCTCCACACATGCACCAGGGCACACTTGGACTTGCCCACACATACAATATATCCTTTTAAACAAACAAAAAACAGGGAGGTGCCCACTGGAAAGACGGTTCAGTGGCTAAGGTCACTCTGCTTTTCCTTCCATAGGACCCCACACCCACATGGCAGCTAACAACGGTCTACAACTCCAGCTCCAGGGGTTTCAGTGCCTTCTTCTGGCCTCCACAGGCACTGCACATGTGCTGCACAGACATACGTCATACACATAAAATAAAGATATGTAAATCTAAAAAAGGTTTTACATTTTTTAAAGAACATGAATTTCATAGACAGCCAGCTTCACTGGCTTTCTAACCAAGTTCTCTATTCTGGCTTCTGGTGATCTGAGACCTGATTTAACCTTGGAAGATTCAGAAGGCTGTTCTTGCCCCAGAGGATGCTGTATTTGTCTCCCAAAGACCAGTTCTTTTATAAGCGTAATGAAATGTTTGGGGCTATGTCCTTCAAAATCCATCTATTTTTACTTTCCCATAGTCTTTTACCTTCACCCCCTGATAGGGGCTGCTGATTACTTGCTTCTGAAAGTGGTTCTCTGCCTCTCTTGGCATGTAGTGCAGACCTTGCTGCTGCTGTGGGTCTCTCAGCCATTTTTCTCTGAAGATTCTCTCTTCTGGCACGGGTTCGTTCAAGCAATTTCTATATTATACCAGTGTTAAAACACAAGGTTAGCCAAAGGTTCACAAAACCTTAGACGTCTTCTAAAACCAACAAATGTTATATAGGATAACAGTCAAACACTTCAAAGGTAAAATCCCAAGAAATCGAACCAAATACCCCCGCATCAAGATTACCAGATTCAATATAAATATTTATAAGCAGTGTGTGAAGATACCTACATAAGATTTTAAATGCTGCAAGTTTTCTGTTCCAATCAAAAGGTATAATCTGTTATTGGGGTGATAGCTCAGTGGAGAAAGTGCCTGTCATGCAAGCATAAGGACCTAATTTCAAACCCCCAGTACCCACATAAAGCTAAGCATGGCAGCATATATCAGGAACGACTGGGGAGGGGCAGGGGCAGGAGGATTCCTGAAACTCAGTCTAACTGATCAGTGAGTCAGGTTGGGTGAAAAGTCTTGTCTCAAACATAAGGTAGACAAAGACTGAGGAAGAAGCACGTCCAAACCTTGCCTCCATGTGTAAACACACATACATCCGTACACATCCACGCACATACACAAACAAAGGAAATCTGCATCACTGCACACACAGCCACAAAAGCATATATACGAAGGAAATCTGCATCACCATCCTTGAATCTGGGCTGGCTGGCCAGGCCTTGTGATTTGCTTTTGTTGTGCTAGGTTTTCAGAATCCCAGAGACTAACCCAAGGAGTCGACACTTCTGATGCAAAAGCAAAAGGTTTCTTTTATTGTTCAAGCTAGTCAACTTGGATCTCTTTCCATGGTGGAGGAAATGAGATGCCAACCAGTCAAAAAGAGAAGCTTTTAAAGGGGCAGACCATAAGGTTGAAGGCCACAAATTTCAGTTTCCATGGTTACTTAAGGTCATACAAAGGACAGAGTAAAGCAATAACTATATTTTAAGCAAGATACAATTAAATAAGACAAGACAGGGCACTGAGTTGCAGGGTTACAGGGTCATAGGGTCTGTCAGTTATCCCCTGGGCAGAGGGATCTTTACAACCTTAGGACCAGCAATTAGCAGACATAGGACCCAATTTGACCCAAGTGGTGGAGGGTCACTTCCCCTTCTCTGAGAGCGGGGCTCAGGTGACATTCCCAGTCATTAGAAGTTCCCTTTTCAGGGCCTAAGTTTTTAAACCTTTATTAATTTTAATTTTTGGTCCCTCACTTTGACTAATTAAATATGCAGAAGTAACACACTATGTGATTTTCAATGCTAAGTCCCAAAAGTCTTGCAGTTTCTGCACTCCCTTTCTTGGACTGGCACTGAAGGGACTCTAGGCCACTGGAGCATGTGGCTCTGGCAGGTCTTGTCCTCCCTCATTCCCTCTGCCTTGCTAAAAACCATTAGATTACATCTTAGAGCTAGCCCCCAAGGTCTATTCCCTTGTCTGGCCACTTCCTCCTCCTAAGGCTGACTACCAACTCCAGGAATCAGAAGCCTCCTTCAGTTCATCAAATTAACATGCCCAACCAAAATTAAACTACTCATCCCCAAAACAATGGGGTTTCCCTTACCTTTATAAACAACCATTTGCCTGTGTGCCACATCTGTCTACTCTATCCAGAGGCCATTCTTGGTCACAGACCCCTTCTTCTCTAAGAATGAGGCCTGCAAGGGCATCTGCTGCTGTTTTCTGCCTGAGTCAGAAAACAGCTGCTTTAACTTTTCTTCCCCACTTAATAAAGGATCTCTCTGTGAAAACAGGTGTTTGGATGTGGCTTGTGGGTCTCCTTCGGGCACATCATTTGAAAAGTTCAACCCAGCTCCAGATATTTTTCCATAACACTAAGAAACCCTACATGACTTAAGGCAAAACCAACAGATGAACAGCCAATTGTGCCCAATACAAACTCCCGCTCCACTGAATAAGAAAGTGACTGCAGGAGTGGAGGAGAGGGAGGGAATACGGTGAGATTGCTCCATAGGTTAAAGCACATGCTGCAAAGCTTGACAATAGAATTCTGCTTTCTGAGTTCCACACATGTGCCTGACACACATGCACTACCACACCCCCATACAAGTAGATAAATGTAATTTTGTTTGTTTACACCTAAATATGCACACATGCATCCACCTAAGTGCCCAAAGAGGCCAGAAGAAGCAGTTGTGAGTTGCTCAATGTAGGTGCTGGGAACAGAACTCCAGAAAAGCAGCCTCCTTTAACTACTGAGTATATGTCTGCAGGTATGTGAACAGCATGCATGCCTGTGCCCATGGAAGTCAGAAGAGGACATTCACCCTTGGAACTGGGAGTTCCAAGTCCTCTGCAAGAGCCAACATGTGCTCTTCCCCACCATTAAAATAAAATTTAACAGAAAGTAGCTGCTGTTTAAGTCAGTCTGCTAGACAGAAAATAGTCCCTCAAAAATGCTTGTGTTCTTTGACCTGCCAGTGTTACCATACAGCAAAAAGAATGTTGCTAATGTGATTGAGGTGTAAACATCATCCTGGGTTATCTGGTTCTTAGTTACAGTGGAGAAAAGGAAGCAGAAAGATCAGTCATGAGAGACGATGACAGAAGCCGATGTCAGAATGCTGAGAATGAAGCTTTGAACATGGCAAAGGTGCCAGAAGTCAAGGTGTGCAGAAAGGATCTAGAAGCTGGAAAGGGCTAGGAAATAGATTTTCTCCTAAGAGCTTCAGAAGGAATGAAATCTTACCCACAATTGACTCTGACTTGATAAAACCCACTTTAGACCTCTAACCTAGAGAACTGAAAAATATTAAGTGTTTAAGCCACTAATTTTTTTTCAGACAGGGTCTCCTAGAACAGTCTGGCTTTAAACCCACAAGAGATGCTCAAGCCTCTGCCTCCTAAGTGCTGGGATTAAAGGTGTACAACATAAAGCCCAGCTTAAGCTTCAAAACTAATAGTTACTCAGATCTGAAGTTGTGACAAGCAGCAAAAATGATCCAAATAGGAAGTTTTACATAACACACGTCACAAGGAGAAAAATGTTAATTTTGTGTTTTATTTTATTTATTTATTTATTTATGCTTTACGAGACAGGGTTTCTCTGTATTGTTTTGGAGGCTGTCAGTCCAGCCTGGCCTCGAACTCACAGAGATCCACCTGCCTCTGCCTCCCGAGTGCTGGGATTAAAGGCGTGCACCACCACCACCGCCTGGCTTCAAAACCTTCATCACCTAAAGAAACCTCCTTCAACCAACTCAAAAGTAATCAGACTACAGCCAGGCGTAGGTGGTGCACACCTTTAATCCCAGCACTCAGGAGGCAGAGGCAGGCGAACCTCAGCGACTTTGAGGCCAGCTTGGTCTAATCGAGTTCCAGGATAGCCAGGGCTGTTACACTGAGAAACCCTGTTTTGAACATCCCCCACTCCCAGTGACCAGACTGCTATACAAATTCATAATGGTTTGATAATCTCTTTTGATAAAATATATCACTCTGAAAAAGCTAAACTACCCTAACTATATGCAACCATTGACATGCCCAACATTCCATTCCCTGCAGTCAGTACTTGAGTCAGCACAGATTCAGTTGCCATGAGCAATGAATGGTTCACAGCAGAAGAATGTCAATTTGCCATTCAAATACACACAAGTGCTCTATTGTTTGCAATGGAGCCAAAACTCAGATGATAAAAGATCATTTAAAATACTCTAATTAGCAAAATAAGGCTAATAAGTGACAAAGACTTTTTTATTGAATAAATGTGTCCTCTAAATTACATAAATGTAAGTGCTCAGTATTTTAAGTAGACCTTCCTTATATTGCATCATTTAAGTATAAAATATTTTCCTTCCAAAAAGAAAAAAAAATCCCAGTTACAGGGATAGGGTGAAGGACATAAAAAGGAAAGCAGTAGGAGAGAGGGATGAATTAAAACAAGGCAAAACGATACGTATGTATGCAATGTTGTAATGAAACCCACTGCTCAGAATGCTATGTTAATTTTGGGCAGGGTACTGTACACCTATAATCCTATCACTCTGGGGATGCAGACAGGAGGATCAGGACTTTAACGCCAGCCTTGTCTACATAGCAAGTTACAGAAAGCTGGAGATCAGCATGGGGTACACAAAATCCTACCTCAAATGGGGTGTCGGGATGTAGCTCAGTCTTAGAGGCCCTATGTTCAATCTCTAATACCAAAACCAAAACTTCTGATACGTTAATTCAACAAAACACGTTTAAATACATTTCAGGTTGGAGAAAACATCTCTGAATAGAAGACAGTCCATTTAGAGCCCACACATTCTGGAGGGAAACACACTTAACAGGTAAGTGCATGTGATTTGGCAATGACACTCTGGAGATCAGCTTGAAAACTGGAAGCTAATGTAGGCCTATACAGCAGAAAAAGCAGGTAAAGCGAGAACATGCTGACATAAGGGCAGCAGGGAGAACGAAAGCCCAAAGAAAAGAATATTTACCAGGGCTGTAGCATTTAAACAAGAGTTAGTAAGTGAATTAGGCCCTAATGTCCTGCTATTAGTTTTTTTCTGTGTTATGACAGCATTGGTAAGGAATCACCCTGGGAGAACTTTTTAAAAATAATTTCTCAAATAATTTTCTGTGTTGTCATGGTTCTGAGTAAGACATTTATTGAGAAAGTCATTTATACTGACATTCAGTACTTTTTAGACAAAAAAACTATCAGAAATTCATTTCACAGTACAAAACTGTTATGAATGCTATCGTTGAGCACCTAGTAGTTGGAACTCACTCACAGTGTCCTCATTACCAATTAAGGAAAAGATGTCAGAGCTGTGATTCCAACTGCAACGGTCTAGCTTTTCAATAATATAAACTACCAGTTAAGGCATGCACATTTCCAAATATATTTTGAAATGACCCAAACAGGAAGACTTTTTTTATTTGAGTTTTATACTAGTTTCAAAAGGCATTTTTAAGTAAAAATATAAATTTCAACCAACTTTCCAAAGTATTTTGTTCTTGTCAATTACTAATAACATATAGCATTATTCAAAATAATTTTATTATTGTATCAATACAGAATGTCATTTTAATGTCAATATAATCTAGAATTGTGGTAATTTTTACTGACATGCAAGTTTTAAGAATAAATATGTTTTCAATAAAAAAATTCAAACTCATAAGCAAACAAATATATACTTCAAGACAAGGTTTCTCTGTGTAGCTCTGGAACTTGCTCTGTAGAACAGTCTGGCTTGAACTCAGAGATCCCTCTGCCTCTGCCTCCTGAGTGCTGGGATTAAAGGTGTGTGCCACACCTTTAAAGTTTTTCAAAGATATTTGGTGTACAGTCATCCAATTCTCTAAAGCTGCTACAAAGTATATCCTGGGTGTTTCTACTTGTACTTTTTTCTATTCATTTATTTTTTTTATGTGTATGGATGTTTAGTCTTCATTTATTTATGCCTGGATACCACACAAGTATCTATCTGGTGCCTGTGGTGGCCAGAAGAAGGCGTTGGATCTCCTGAGACTGAGTTACAGGCTGTTGAGACTAGAGTAACTGCTGGGATTTGAATCTGGAAGAACACCCAGTGTTCTTAACAGCTGAGACATCTCTCCAGCCGGCTTCTAGAATTTTTAAAGTCAACAAAGTGTTATTTCCCTCAAGATAACTGAGAACTTCAAACCTGGGAAAAGCCTAACTGCCATGTCAAAGCCTTTACTTGTTGAAGCCCTTAGTATCTTGGGCTTAGCTTAGGGATCTAACTACTAAGTACACTACCTAAATTAAATTACTACTATCTTCTATCATTGCAAAACTCACAACACAGTCTTGAAATATGCACAACAGCTTAAAGAAAGAGAAATAAAGAAAAAGAGGAACTGTCTTGGAATAAAGAGTGGGCAAGCGGCAGCAGGAAATTCCTTAATGTCAGTGCACAGCTGCAACATGAAACTAAAACTAGAGATAACTGATAGGGTCAACAACGTAATCTAGACCCTATTTCCAAGGAAGAGATGAGGAGGGTCTCGTTGGAATGATATGCTACATAAACGCTGAGCAGTATCTAGCCTTACATCACACGCTAGTAATTTTGGTTTATACAAATTTAATGCATGCTAATTCTGTGCATGAGATTTCTAAAGCTGGCAGAGCAGTGTCGTCTGAAGGAACTCGAGGCTGAAGCACCTGCTCACTTGGACTTGGCTGATTTCATCTCAGGATTCTTAAGTGCACACAGCTCCTCCGGGCCGGTGAAGCCCTTTATCACCTCCCATCAGATTCCAGGCACAGAGTACGAGTGTCATTGGGCAGACTCCACCCTGCCAACCATTCCAGCTTTCCGGCCGGCCGGCAGGGCCGGTCCCATCAGGCCCCAAGCCGCACTCTCCCGGGAGAAGGCAGGGTCAAGCCGGAGCAGCCCGCCGCTCACACCTAGTGCCAGCCTCGGGAGGTGGGGCAAGGCCAGCCTCGGCGACACGGAGTTCGGGGCGAGTTCGGGGCTAGCGTGGGGGTGTTGAGGCCCTGTCTTGCCTGCCTTACCCCCTCCCCACCCCCACCCCCACCCGTTTCCTCTGGAACAGCCAGAGCCACGGGCGGAGCGGCGGAGCCGGGGAGGCTGCGACCCCGCGGCGGGCGCCCGGGTGCACGCTCGCGGTGCGCACGCGCCGCGCTGCCTGCCGGTGGGCCGCAGGCTGACAGCGGGCGCGGGCGGGGGAGGGGGGGTCCGCAGGGGTCATGGTTCACAGCTCCCGCAGAGTCTCTCACCTCTGTAAACGGGTCCATCGCCCCAAGCCTCACGTGTGGACGACGCGACGGTGGGTCCGGTGGCTCAAACTGAGGAAAAGGAAAGAAGTGAGTGCGGGCTCGGCGCAGCTCCTGGACGAAGGCCGGAGGCCGGGCGGCGGGCTCTCCCACACCCAGTCGGTTCTGCCCTCAGCGCCCAGGGTCTGTCGGCTACCACGGCCGTTCAAATTTGAATTTCAGCGCCCCGGACGGCGCGCATGCGCGCGGGGCGGGCGGGCGGGCGGGGCCGGGCCGAGTGCGTCTCCGCCCCGGAGCCTGGGTCACGTGACGCGGCGGCGCTCGGCCCTGTCTCGAGCTGCCGGCCTCCTCCCTTGCCGTCGTGGCTGGGGACGCTCCTGCCGTTGAACTGCCTAAGAGAGCGCCTGCCGCCACGCACGCACCCCCGCATGCCCTGGCAGGTCCTTCCGTGGTCCCGTCAGCTCCCGCCGCCCTGCCTTCTTCCTCGGTGGGCCTTACGAACCCAGTGCGGGTCCCGCTGGCCCTTGGGCCCAGTGTAATTTGTCTCCTGCTACCAGAAGAGGCATTGGACTGCAAGCTTGACCCTCCTGAGAGGCCACTCTGGTGGGTCCCCACACTCGCATCCAGTGACTGGTTCTTTGTCCTTGGGAAAACGAGATAACAGTAATAGACCGTGCGACAAGTTCATTCACAGGCCCTTCTGTCTCAGACCCCAGCCAACTACCAAATGTCAGCACTGAGAACACTTGAGAAAGCCTTCTAATTCAGTTTTCCACATTTGAGAGAAGGGACGATTGAAAAGCCCCTATTTAATAAAAGTTCCCGTTTACCAGCCAGTAAGCAGGACAGAAACTACTTCCCCAGTATCTCTTAATTTGATTTTCTTTTTCCTCTTCCTGGAGATCCTTAGTGTCTATCCTTTGACCTTCAGACCCAGGCTTTCCAAAAAGCAGTGTCTAAGAAAACAGGGCTGTCAAAACCCTGGTGGTAGAACTGTTTGCTTTTATACTCAAAAAGGTTGAGAAAGCACTCAAACCCGCGTGCTCTGTGTGCCCAGGTTGGTGCTGGGAGCCCTAACGTCCCTAGGAGAGTGTGTTAAAACAAAAGACATTAACAAGGCCTGTGGCGAGTTCATGTGTGTTAAATGGATGCACGACAGGATCGAGTGTGCTTTCCTTATTCTGCAGGAAATCGCTGTGAACATGTTGAAGGGTCAAGTCCAGAGTCAGAAAGCTAAAGAAAAATAGGAAGCTTGGAACCAGCAACGGGGCTCATGCTATAAAGCCACCTGCTGCCAAACCTAGGGACCTGAATTCTAGACCCAGAACCAGTTCCAGCAAATTGTCCTTCAACCTGCACACACACAGTAAATAGATAAATGTAAAACACACACACACACAAATCTATAGATAACAGAAATAGTAAACTTTCTCAATTTTTTGTAGCTGGGGTAAAAAATGAGAGCTTTGTCTAAGTGTGTTGTATATGGGGTTTGTTAGAATATAAGTTAAGTGTGCTACCCGTGAACCCAAAGGAAAGGATGCCTGAATCTTTTTCAAGTTCTAACAGTAAAGGGGTGTGTGTAGGTGGGGTGTGGCTGTGTATGTCAGTCGTGGGAATGAGTCATTGGAAATTTATGTAGCCGTTGTGCCTTCTGGCTGTTGCCTCTGATCCTTGGTTTCATGATAAACAACAGTTTGATTCTAGTCAGCTTGAATAAAGCAGTATAGCTACTCTAAACTTGTGGTTTCTCTCCTTACAAATCCTGAAGCACTGGCCTTTGATTATGTCTTAATTGTCGTGGCAGTAGGGATAGCAGCTCCCACCAGCACAATATAGTTCCCATGTATGAAGCAACTGGTATATGCCAGAAGCCATGCTACTAATTCAAGGCCACCCCCCTATACTGCTGCAGTTCCCTCCTAATATGTCTGTGTGAATTTATAGCTCATGTCAGTTCACTTTTATGCTTATAACCTGGAATAAATTTCTTTCATTAAAAAAAAACAAACATCATTGCTGCCTGAGGTGGTAACACATACTATCTCAGCACTTAAGAGAAGGATGCAGAAAAATCAGGAGTTCAAGGCCAACCTCATCTAAGAAAAAGAAAAGAAAAAATACATACATCCATCATTATATTCATTTGAGATAGAGAGATGGCTCAGCAATGGAGAGCATTGACTGTTCTTCCAAAGGACTCAGGTTCAATTCCCAGCACCCAAATGGTGGCTGTTTACCATCTGTAACTCCAGTCCCTGGTGTCCAGTTCTTCCTTCAGCCTCTAAGGACACCAGGTATGTACATGATACACAGGAATACATGCACACAGAACATCCATACACATAAAAATCTTTTTAAAAAGAAGGATCTCAAGCAGAGTGTTACTCTTTCAAACTGTAGATAAAACTAATGGAGAGCTAAAAAACACACATATACACACACAAAAATGTGGTAGTGTTACCTTCATCAAGGACATGCCAAATATATGCATTTCCAGTTAATTTTTCAGAACCCACATACATTCTCACAACTGACAAAACTACACAGTAACTTGGATATTTGTATTTTTACAGAGAGAGAAAAGGCCAAGACCTGTCCAGAAGGTGGTGGCAAGAAGGATCAGACAGAAGTTCTCCACCTCAGGTTATTAGGCTGACTGGCCACTTCCTTTATATGTGTATTGTAATGAAGAAATAAGAACCACCAAAGGTTATTATCAAGTGGGGCATGATGACACAAGGTTGAGGCAGGATGACATCAGTGCTAGCCTTGGCTACATAGTGCGTTCCAAGCCAGCTTGGGTTACCTAGTAAGACCTTGTTTCAAAAACAAACAGTATTCTATATATAGGTGGGCATGGTAATGTGTGCTTATAATCCCAGCCACTTCAGATTTGAAGCCAGCCTTTGTCATTTAGTGAGATTCTGTCCTAAACTAACTAAAAATGGGTTTGGGTGTAGTTCAATGATAGAGTGCTTGTGTAGCATGTAGGAGAAGCACTGTGTACAACCTCTATTACTAGGGGTGGTAAGAAAGTATTACCAAGAATGAACTATGCTGTTAATTGCTTTTAGCATTATGTGGTCTTTTTGTAAGCATTTCGACGTCTCAAATGGGATAAACAGGGATTCAGGCGCTTGGGAGCCACAGAATACTGAGTGTTACAGCTCGGATGGAAAAGTATTCTGGCAATCGGGAGCCAATAAATACCATAGGTCACAGTAAGCATAGCAGCTCACAGCCCTGCTCCAGGGAAAGTTTTCCCCAGTGTATCAGCTCTGCTCCAGCAGGAGAAGGTTTCCCCAGTAAAGAGGTTTAACCTAGAGAGCAGAGTGGGAGTGTAACAACTCTGCTTCACCAAGGGAAGGTTTCTTGTAACAACTCTGCTTCACCAGGGGAAGGTTTCTCCAGTGAAAAGTGTTACAGCAAAGTGTTACAGCCCTGCTTCGCTCTGCCCAGGATCAGTCATCTCTGCTCTGGCGAAAGGTCTTCACTCAAAGCTCATTCAAGAGATTTATTGGGAAGAAAGAATCCAGGAGAGTGACTGCCCTCTGCCAGGATGACAGGGGAGAGCTGGGTAGCCAGACAGCCAGAAGCTAAACAGGCACAGGGTTTATTTAGGGAGATTTCCAGGGTGGGGACTGGTTAGATTTCAATCCCTGAGTTTAGGATGGCTATATCTCCTGCTCAGGGATTGGTTAGTTTTCTGCACAGTTTTAGGGTCAGATTTGGCTCTGGTTTCAGGACCAAAGCATGTTTCTTTCTCTGGTCCTTTTTAGCCTTTTGGCTCTAATATTAGGGCCAGGGTGTATTTCTTTCACTCATTCTGATTCCAGACCAAAGTATGTTTCTTTGAAACTGAATTCAGGGTATATATATATGTGTGTGTGTATGTGTATATCAATTACTTTTCCATACTCACATTTATTTCATAAGACTATTTTCATGAAACTTAACTTATAGTTTTATTCTTGGTGATTTGAGACAGACTGTGACCTCTGTCTGTCTCTGCCTCCTGCTGGGATTAAAGATCATCACTACTACTCTTAAATCAATACCCATATTCTTAAATGAGCATCAAAGATAAATTTCCCTTAAATTTTATTTAAGGAAATACATCAAGTTATTGTACTACATAGTCTTCTGCCATGTCAGAATTCACTCATTAAACCTTACAAATGCCAGAGTTCATTAAATCCATTTCACTTTCACCTATCATCAAGAGTCTGTCATCGTCCCAGTTGTGATAGTTCATCTTCTGCTGTGACAATACATCAAAAAATAGTTCTTTTGGGGATGGAGAGATGGCTCAGCAGTTAAGAGCACTGACTGGCTGCTCTTCCAGAGGTCCTGAGTTCCATCACCAGCAGCCACATGGTGGCTCACAACCATCTGTAATGAGATCTGGTGCCCTCTTCTGGTATGGATGAAAACAAAGCACTCATATACATAAAATAAACAAATAAATAAATATTAAAAATAGTTCTTTTGTTTATTTTTTGAGACGGCCTGTATATTGTTCTGGCTCTCTGGGATTGATTGTATAGATCATAGAGATCCTCCTGTCTCTGCCTCCCAAATGCTAGGACTAAAGTCATGCACCATCATGCCTGACCAAAATTTAGTAATTTTTAAAGAGATTTATTTCTTATAATTTTACAGACTGAGTAGTCTAAGATCCAGGATCCACAGTTAATGAAGGTCTTCTTGCAAAGCATATCCATAAAGGCAAGAAAAAACATATAAGACATGGTATTAAACTGGGGCTAGAGAGATAGCTTAATACTTAAGATCATGTGCTGCTCTTCCAGGGGATCTGGGTTCAGTCCCAGCACCCACATAGTGGTTCATGACCATCTATCATTCAAGCTTGAAGGGATATGACACCCTCTTTTGACCTCCCAGACTACCAAGTATATGTGATACACATACATGCAGGTACAACACTCATACACATAAAATAAACAAACCCCAAAAGAAGTTTTAATTAAAATGTGAATTAGCCATTCATCAGGATGCAGCCCCCAGTTGGCAAACACTGTTGCACTGGGGGCTAGGTTTTAGCACGTGTTTTTGAAGGGACACACTCAAACCAAATACCGCCTCCTCAGGCCCATCCACAGTTGTCACTGAGCCCTCAAGTGCCATTTTTCTGATGAGTTTTCAGAAAGCATGATCTCTACACAAGCTGATCCCAACATTCCTCAAACATTTACGTTGCGCTGTCTCCTCCCATCTACTCACTATATGATAGCACTTGGACTCCACTCAACACTTGAAAATGCCCCATCCCTACCTCAGAGTTGTTATTGTAGCGTGGGTTTGTTTTTGAGACAAGGTCGGGATACTCAGTAAGTTCTAGGCCAGCCCGGGCTGCAGAGCTGAGACCCTCCACACACATCAGAAAAGAAAAAAGGCTGGCAGGATGGCTCAGCAGGTGAAATGCTTGTGTGCACGCCTCTTGTGAGTGTGGTCACAGAAGTGAGAACCAACTCCACAAAGTTGTCTTTCACAAGTGTGCCTTAGCATGCATGTGCCCACTCATTATACAGACATACAAAGTAATACATTTTTAAAAATGTAATATTTTGAGATTGATATAAGAACATCATTTCCCCTCTCCCTTTCCTTCCTCCAACACCCACAAACACACACCTTTTGCTCTTTTTCAAATTTATGGCCTCTTTTTTTCTTGTTATTGCATACATATTTGTGCATATTTGTGTATATATGTATTTCTAAATACAACCTGCTCAGTCTCTATAATGTTACTTTTATGCATAGATTTTCAGGGCTGACCATTTGGTACTTGTGACAGTTTGAATGTAAGTGGTCCCCGTGAGCTCATAATGAGTGGAAGTATGAGGAGGTGTGGCTTTGTTGGAATAGGTATGGCCTTGTTGGAAGAAGTGTGTCACTGTGGAGGTGGACTTTGAAGTCTCATGTATGCTCAAGCCACACCCAGTTTCTCAGTTCACTTCCTGTTGCCTGTGGGTCAAGATGTAGAACTCTCAGCTCCTTCTCCAGCACCATGTCTGCCTGTGCACTGCCATGCTGCACCATGAAGATAATGGATTAAACCTCTGAAAACATCCCCAATTATATTTGTTCCTTCCTAAGAGTTGGGCAGTGGTAGCACACACATTTAATCCTAGGTCTAGGGAGGTCCAGGTGGGCAAATCTCGTGAATTTGAAAAACAAAACAAACAAACAAAAGACAAAACCCAAACAAATGAAAAAGGAGTTTGCTGTGGTCATGGTGTCTCTTCACAGCAATAGAAACCCTAAGACAGTACTGAACAGTCACTTTGTATACTATTGAAAGGGATACTCAAAGGCTTCACTTCTAATAATTTAGGAATAAAGGGACCAGACCCTCAGTCAGTCCCCTGCTTTAGCAGCCATGACAGGCTACAGAAAAGACACTAAGAAACTCTAGATTCCAGCCGGGCGGTGGTGGCGCACGCCTTTAATCCCAGCACTCGGGAGGCAGAGGCAGGCGAATCTCTGTGAGTTCGAGGCTGGGCTGGACTGACAGCCTCCAAAACAATACAGAGAAACCCTGTCTCGTAAAAACCAAAAAAAAAAAAAAAAAAAAAAAAAAAACAAACCTCTAGATCCCCTGGCATCCCAGAGCCTAGGGCCAAAACTGTACACAAAGAAACTCCAGACCCTCCCTAGCCTCCTAGTTGCTTAGTTCCTGGGAACTGTTTGACCACAAAAGAAACTCCAGGGGAGATCAAAACCTCCCCTGTAGTCTCTAGGATACAGTTCTGAAAACTGTTGGTATCTATGTACAACAGGCCACCTGCAAGTAACAAGACAGAGCCATAGAAACTACAGAATGTTCCCTCTCAGCCCTGACCAATGAAAATAATTGGTACACAGGTATTTCATGCCAAATTATGATTTTGAGAAATTCTCCTGATTGTCCCAAATGTCAACCAATCAGAAACCAACCCGAACCTACTGATATAATCCTGTAACTTTTGTCTTTAAAACCTAGCAGTAGACAGGGAACTTCACTCCCTCTGGAGGCTGCTGTGTCAGCTAGCCAGATGTGATCCCCGTCATGGTTGAATGGACAATTAAAACCTTGCTTTTGCAGTTTGGTGGGTCTGTCTTCCTGGTGGTCTCTGGAGATCTTTACAACTTGGGCACAACACTATTCCCAGACGAAGACTATTTCTCCTGCTGTTAGCATTCCTTAGTTGCCTTTAGTACTTTGTATAGGATTGAAGCCTCATGAGCTACCACCTCACTCAGATACATTAGCACGTCTATTGGTGTCATCTTTGTTCAACTCATGTTTAGACAGTCGTGTTGGGGAGACTTTATGGTTGTAGTTTCAGGCACAGTCTCACAGCAAACTATTCCTCTGGCTCTTCCAACCTTTCTGCTCACTCTTCTGCAGTGATCCCTGAGCCTTAGGTGCAGAAGTTGAGTTGAAGATGTATCAGTTGGGAATGGAGTCCACAACTCTGTATTTGATTGGCTGTGGTTTTCTGTAATGGTCACTGTTGCTAAGAGAAATTTCCTTGATGAGGGGTAAGGAATATACTTATCCGTGGGTATAAGGACAAATATTTAGAATGTAATTAGCAATTACGCTGACTTAGTAAAGTGATGATTGTAGAGTCTCC